GTTTCCTGCGTCGAGCCATGCGTTTCCGCGACGGTGAGCGTCGATCGTCGTTTCGCCGCGTTCGTTCGGGACGTCGTCGCATCGATCCGCGACCGGAACCCGATCCGGCCTCGGTAGAAGTTTTCGCCGGCGACAGCCCCGAAGAGAAAGAAGAACCCGAGATATAAATAGACTCGGGCGGAGAAAGGCTTCCTCGTGATAAAATTATACCCCCGCGGATACGAAACCGATTCATCCATCCGTAACAGCGACATCCACCCTCCACCTTCTCCACCTTCTCCACCCAGCTCCATCATTGGGCTCGTCGGTCTTTATATCCGAGACTAAATATAGTCATGAATGAGAGGAGCGAGTGACGGTAATGGGGCTCGCAACGTGAGAAAGATGGCAACTTTTTGTCTCCTCGTAGTTTATTTTGGGTGATGCGTGGGTGCGTGATGTCGGTCGCATGTCGGCCTTCCCGGTTTTTTTTTTCCGCCTTTTCGATCGGCGAATCCGGGTCACGGCGCGCTTTTTGCGAGGGAATCGTCATCGGTTGCACCTGTCGTGGCCTTCGTGTGCAGGACTGGCCGCGTTTGTGTTTATCGCATCGATCAATGCTATTAATTGCACTGCAATGAGGAGATATCTTTTGTTTGCCTAGGCCAAACGGTGACGGGGGGGAGGTGGGAGGTGGGAGATTCATGAACGGGACTCGGTAGTTTACTGGTTGTATATGTGGACGTATTTTGAGGCGCAAAAAAAAAAATCAGGACTCACTTCGTGGAAATGTATGTTTTTCCTTATTATTGGATATTGCGCGAGGAACGCGATCTGCGGGGAACCTGCGAAGAAATGAAGGAATCTAGGCCCCTGCGACAATTTCCTGGAACCAGCCTTACAAGAAAACGGGAAGACGAGATCGCTAGTATGCTCGGCTGGATGGGGAGGGGGAAGGGGGGAGGGGAGGCTTGTGTGGGGTAATATCGGGTAGGGTGACTCCCAGTCTGCAAGGCTCATGCCCAGAAGCTCCACTTGCACTCGCACGAGGGGGGAAGGACCATTGATTTCCTGCGTGCGCCTCTCCATTTTACCCTTCAAGGGGGAAGCGAAAAAAAATAGCAGACCCCAGTCCATAGGCGCTCTATCTCTCTCCATATCTGTTTTATACGTTCCTTGTTTTGTTTTTTTTTTTACGTACCTGTGATACGCTTCACAAACATGTGCGGCGGTCGCGGACGAGAGAAGCGTCGACGTTTGGGGCCGTTCGTATCGTCCGTGTTCGATGGGGCTGCAGTGCAGGTGGCGAGGGCCCCCCGTGGATGTGGCTAGGGATTCGAGAATCGAGACTTAGGAGTCGTTTTCGATGTCTGTGAGGTCGTCGAACCGACCTGCCGCCGTGAGGAGCAGGCCTTCCGTGAGGGGCATGGTCCAGTTCCTGGAGTCTCTGCACCCCAAACTCGTCCGAACAGGTAACCGTGTGGACCGGTCGTGCGGACTGGCACCGGACGTGTGGACGGTCAACATGTCGGCTCTCTATTTGCATGCGGGGAAATATCCTCGAAGGGCCTGTTTGCTCTAGGCCCGATCGCGTGTGGTCTGCACGATGTACGCGATCGGATTCGGCGTTGTTGACCGTCTGGAACGGAACGGGGAACTTTTCGTCGTCGATATCAGACGGATTGTCGACGGTCGTCAAGATGGCCATCGCGCGATTCCTGGCTCGGGTCTCCACGTTACAAAATTTGCATTCTAAGTGAAATGCGGGACACTTAGCAAAATGAGTTGTGCAATCTAGCTGGCAAGGTTGAACGCGTTGCCATTTTCTCAGGTCTCAGAGGGACGAAGTGCGGTGAAATTTTATTGTGAAGGATGCAACGGAGCCTCCGAAAGCAATTTTGGAGGCTCGTGTCCGTGTTTCCCGCAAAATTTCACGACTCCTGCCGCCATTGCCGGAAGACCGGAGTCTTCGGATCACTCGTGACCCTTGCATTTCGTCATGGCCGGAGTCGAAGCATCAACGCGCTGTCGAATTCGGTCGTAACGAAGTCGCAGCAAGACCTCGAAGTCGCAGCGTAGACCTCGAAGTCGCATACAAGACCTCGAAGTCTATTTTTTGTCTCACCGAAAGTAAATGTAAAGTCATGGCTCGTCGACCTTAACTCCCATGCTGGCTCGTCGGGGAAAGGTCATTCTGGCTCATTAGGGAAAGGTCAGAGACATTTAGAAAATTTTCGGAATTAGAATAAGTAAAGAAACATAAGGAGCCCTCGGCTAGGACTTTCTTCCTGGTCCCTTCAACGAAATGACCGAGCTCTCAGCTGTAGTTTCTCATTCGAAACTGAGACAATGCTTTTAATCATTTTCGGGGACAATTCTGGCAACACTGTCCGATCGATCGATTCGGTCGCCGTTCTAATTCGCTGTTGGAAAAAAAAATAGCGGCTACCAAATCTCTCTGATGGCTGCGAAATGCATCTTTCATTCCGCGTCGATGCCCCTAAACCGAGATCGATGGAGCGGATGTGGCGGTTATCGGCACCGCCGTTATCGTCGGCACCGCCGTTCGCGTCGATGACAGCATCCGGTGGATGACGCCAGCTGACGGGTTTCATGCGTCCTTCGTCGCGTTCAGAGAGTGCAATGAAATTCGATCGATTAGGCAGGGATAAACATTTGGATTAGGATTTCTTAAATTAATATGGATTAGGATTTTGTAAGTCGCGATTCGACCGGACTGAGTGGTGAAAATTTCGGAGTTTTCGTCTCTTGAATGAAAATAACTTATCAAGGATTTCAACATCTTATTTTTTAAAAATCATTTTGTTATATAATTATTGTTCGATTAATCGCGTCGGATCCCATTCTAAAATCACTCTAAAATTATTCTATAAATCACCTTCAAAGCGAAGCACTTCTGGGGTACTTCTGAGAGGAATTGCCCTGCACGAAGGGAAATTGCCCTGCAAAAAGACAGGGGCTCTTGTGTTTGGGAATCCTGCATTTTTCATGGGCTGCGTTCGCTTAAGCTCGGGATATTCGCATATTCAAAAGCAATCATACCATTAATCATCAAAACCAAAATAACATGATATTATTTTGATAATATCGTATCATCAGTCCAAATCGCGTCCGCTCGAACTTTTCTCGTCAAATTCGAGGCTTATCGTGGAAACAAAACTCCAATCGATCAGTCGTTGGAGGAATGAAACTATGTATTGATTGATACATCAATCTTTTCTCGAGTCAATTAGAAAGATTGATTAATGATTCATAACAATGTGTAAAAATGCGAAGATGTAAACACAATAGTTTAGTCGTTTGAATATACTGTGTGGAGCTCTGGATTTTAGATTCGTGAATGCGATTTAGTTAATATGGAATTTATTTATCATATTTATTACACTGCGGCATTATATACTAAAAAGGGGAGTACGGATTTATTTATTTATTATCGGTTTGCACTAGAAAATTTCCAGAGGAATTTTCTTCAGAATTCGAAAATGCCAGTCAAGTTTAGAGACATAAATATATTTATTCACATTGTTAAATTCATATTAATATTTTATTCATGGCATCACTCCGAAGCCAAAGCGCCCCCCCCCCCCCCCCCCCCCCATCGGATGCAACCCCTCGCTATAAAGGTCACCGGCACGAAAGTTTGATGAAGGACGACAGCTCGTCGGTCACGATGAATGCCCCTGCGCCTCCTCTAGTCCGACCCGTAAATAATGGAAAAGGTGAAAGGGAGAACCGGGGAAGCAACATGTTGACCGACGAACCGTCATGCTCCCTTTCCAAAAAAAAAAAAGCCAAGATGAAGATAAGAAATGCCCGATCTCAGCTGTCTCCCTCCCCCTCCCCCCTTCCCCCCGATCGATTCCCTCTCTCACGATCGAGATTGCTTAGCCCACATAACCCCCTGCCGCCATGACATGAAGGCCTGCTGATGAACACACGAGATGCGCCTGTGAGGTCTTGTCCTCAGTCGCGCTTTCCACTGCCCTCAAACTTCTAGCTCGTCCGTCTTTTTCTTTCCTGCATTTTTATTTTAACGGTCCAAAGTTGGATTATTTTTAATTTTGCTGGTAAAGCCTGATAAAAAAAAAGTTTTTGAATAGGAAGGATCTGCATCTATCACTCGGAATGCGCTTCGTGGATTAATTCTGCACGCAATTTCGCAGAAGGTAAAAAGCGAAAAAATGTGCGTGAACCATTCAATTTTGCAAACTCGCCTCTACTCTAAGTTTGTGACGTCATCCGGTCAGAACGGGGCGTGGGCGACGAGAAAACGATGAGGATGTTGTGCAGGAAATTCGAATCCGGTTTTTGGATGCAGATGATTTCTTAAAATAAACCGCCACCTTTTATTATATTATATATATTTATATTTATTCCCTCCTTTGCTCCGCAAGAAAGCAGCTATTTTTATACAGCGCTATTTCCCACGCAATCTCACGGTCGACTTCATTACCATCGGCCGACGCATTTGTGGGTCAAGGGAGCGATCGGGCTCGGCCCGTATCCGATTTATTAACATTTAATGTCGTCAATTAAGCGTCGTGACGTCGAAGCTCCGCTAAGCATCGACCTCGCGAGGTGACTCAGGTTTTCGCGTCTGGTGTCCACCATAGTTGACACGAAATTTTTAGCGATTTTTTTTTTTGGCAGAGAATGAGCCAAAAAAAGGTATATTTTCCTTTCGCTCGAAAAATTAATGCGTGGAAAGGTTAAATCGATTTTTAAATCTGGTGAGTCTGGGAAGGGTTCGAGGGTCACGTGACTCGGTGACACGATGTGAAAGGAAATATATTAAATTTTGAGACTTGATCTGCCGAACAAATCGAATCAGCGCGTGATTCGATTTTTAAAAGTGACTTGATCTGTGCTGACTGATCGAAGAAGATTCGATTTCAACCCGAATAGAATTCTCAGAAATTGCGGAAAATGGGCCAGGGGATTGGAGGATGCATTGCCGATCCAGATTTCCGCGTTGTTGGCTGGCAGGACATAATCCGGCAATGCCGGATTTTGAGCTCCATTTTGCGACGGTGAGGCACGCATCGAACCGGCCTCATGTTGTCCTTGCCCTTGCCCTTGCAGAGAGCAGTCCATTATTTGGGGGTCGAGGCAGGGGAGGAGGGGGATCCACATCGTCGGCCGGCTCGGATGGCATGAGCAACAATGGCTCGACGGATGGGATGTTCCTGGCCGAGGGGGATCCCGCCACGGGGATCTCCCTCAGGGCTGCCACCCTTCACTCCCTCGTCTCCAAATGCATCGAATCCTTCGGTTCGTTTCTCTTTCTTTCTCTGATGGAACGGAGGGGGGAAATAATCCTCGGACCGATAAGCGCTGGTGCGAGGCGAAAGGGGATCGGTGTCCCATCGACCGATATCCCCCAAAAGCCGCCTTTTATTTCCCCCGCGTGGAAAGGTCAAACCGTCGAGTCGATATCGACGTTTCCTCCGGATCCGGATCCTGATCCTCTCGTCTTCCCTTCGTCGGCCGGACCGAAAATAAAGTAACTTTTTCGTCCCCGACAGACCTGGGCGGACTCCGGAGCCCCGAACAAGCGGCCCTCCCTCAGCTAGTGTTCCAGATGCACAAGTGGTTCGCCTCGTCCGATGTCCTCGCCAAGGCCTTCGTGAGCCGGTACCACAACCACGCGCAGAAGTGCCGGCCCGGCTGCCCGCACACCGTCTCGGAACTCCCCGCTTGCAACGTCTATCGACATCGGATGCGCATCTGTTACGCTCTCAGGTCGATCGTCGCCGCCCAAAAAATGTCGACGACGAACGCGGGCTCATCGATGACACGCTTTTTCGATTTTCGTTGCAGGTTTTGGATCCGGTCGTTCCCCCTGCAGTTCGCCACGGACCATCGACTCTGTTGTCTCCTTCAGGAGTTTGGGAGTTCCCTCCAGAGCGCGGGCGCTCACGAACTCGCCGATCTCGTCGACGTGTCCAAGGTACGCGTTCTCGTCGTTTTATCGGGCCGAGAAACGCCCGTCGTGGAGTCTCTTCCGCCGATTTTAGGAAGACCCGAGGGATCGACGAGCACGCGATCCGTCGTTTCCCCGTGCGGCACGAGGGCAGGAATTAACACTTTCGGGGAACAAACTGGAGGAGTTTAACACTTTTTCCTGTGGGGCTATTTGAAGGATTGCGTGTTCGTGGATTCCACCGAGAATCCCGTGGATGGGTCGCACGCGGCCTAATCATGCGCATACATAATTTGGGCACAGGCGAGGATCACGGCCGGGAGTTTTCCTATGTAGTTCCTTGTTATAATTAAAGGTGATCGGGTCTTTTCTCTCGGAACACGCTGTATCAGTGGTCGGCAATTGAATTTCGCGGGGGGGGAGGGGATTGTTCCACGTTCACGGGCCAACGCCCATCAAGTGTTATTAAGATGAAAATTTTAATGAAATTTTAATACTACTGTCAGGCCGTAATGTGCATCGTAAATGGTCTTTTTTTAATTTATGCTCCGGGAACTGGTTTTGCTACAAGTACCATTCGAGGCCTTTTCAAATCAAAGGCAACATGTTTACGAGGGCGTCGTCCTTCAAATGGCCTCCGTGAGATGCAACGTCGTCGAAAGCCCTCGATTGTCGCTTTCCGCGATGCAATGTCGGCTTCTTGCTGCGCAGTTTCGTCTTGTCGTTCGACGTGCGAGGGAATCGGGAACGTTTGGTGAAACCGCTCGGTTTGTCCTCGGGTTATAATCAGGCTACCGTTCCCGATTCCCTCGCACGTCGAACGACAAGACAAAACTGCGCAGCAAGAAGCCGACATTGCAATTGCAATTGTCCAACGATCCATCCAAAATCCCCTACCCTTAAATACCCTACGAGTAAAAAAAAAATAACCAACATTGAGTCATGATGATGGTAAAGCATTTACGTTGCTTCGATGGTTGTCACCCTGTGTATTATTCATAGCGCCTTGGGCTTCGTCGAAGCACTTTGTATCTTTGATGTTTTTCGAGGTCTTTTGTGAAAAAGCGTGTGACTTTCATTGCACGAAATCCGGGCAGATCCCATCCTACGACTGGATGCGGATGATGTCGGTGCGGAACCCGGGCGGGATGAAGCCGTCGAGGAAGGTCTCCCTGGTGTTCAACCACCTGGAGCCGGACGAGCTGGCGGAGCACCTCACCTTCCTCGACTTCAAGGTCATCCGCCGGATCAGCTTCCAGGAGTACCGGAACTACACGGTGATGGGCTCCATGCGGGAGAGCCCCCGGCTGGAGCGCAGCATCGCGCTCTTCAACGGCCTGTCCCAGTGGACCCAGTGCATGGTCCTGTCCCGGTCCACGCCCCAGCAACGGGCGGATGTCATCACCAAGTTCGTCTACGTCGCCAAGGTGGATTTATACGAAGGAGTTATCGTCTTTTGTAATTAAATTACTTCGTAGCTTTTATTTAGCTTGCTCGACTCTCAGTATACTTATACATATATATATATATTTTTATTTATTTATTTTTTATTTTTTTTGGGGGGGTTTACAATGGAACGAATAATCGGGTTTTGAACCCGATTATTCGTTCGAACGGGTTTTGAACCCAAAAATTATTTTACAATTTAATAAAGAGGGGTTTTGCAATTAAAATTTAAAATTCAGAACTCTCTCTCTCACTCTGGTGTTGAGTTTTTATTATTTACAAAAGAGTAAAAATAAAAGAATAAAGTGAAAAGAGAACTGCTCTCATAGCAAAAAACATATTCCTGTGGCTTTCGTCAGCATTGACCTCGTCCATGCCCATTATTCCCAGAAACTGCGGGAGCTGCAGAACTTCAACTCCCTGATGGCGGTGGTGGGCGGGCTGAGCCACAGTGCCCTGGCCCGACTGAGCCGGACCACCGCCTGCATCTCCCCCGAGACCCAGAAGCAGCTCGGGGACCTGTCCGACCTTCTCTCCTCGGCGGCCAACTTCTCCAACTACCGGAAGGCCCTGCAGGAGGCGAAGGGGTTCCACATCCCCATCCTGTGAGTGCCCCTCCATGTTGCATCCTCCCCCATTCCAACCTCCAACTCAGCTGATTCTCCTTTCCTCCTTCCTTGGCGCTAGGGGAGTGCACTTGAAGGACCTGATCCAGATGCATGTGGCGCTGCCGGATTCTGTGAATGGGGATCCGGAGCTGATCAACATTCGGAAGGTGGCTCAGTTATCTCTGGTCTTCCAGCAACTGCTCTCTCTCCAAAATGCCTCTCTCCCCATCGACGTCAACATGGATCTCGTCAACACCCTTCGGGTAAAACTAAAAAATCCGTGCAAGAAGACATTCGAGATGGTATTAAAAAAAAGGAGCAATGCTGTTACCACTAGACTTAACAACTTGAAAGTTATGTAATCCAGGGGCAGAGTGTTGTTATTGACTTTTCCTGCCTTTCTTCCAAAGCCTCTCTTAACGTAACAGAAACTCGACTAAATTTAGAAAAGAGAATAATTGAGACTCTCTATAGCCCTATTGTGAGAAAACAATGGGGAAACTGAGAAGCTTCGTCAGTAGCAATCGAAGTCGTGTGGGTCCACGATGAAAAGGATCTTTTGTTGTGGGAGATGAGACTGAACCTATAAATAGCGAATAACCCTGCTTCTTTCCGTCCTTTGCATTGGCGTAAGAGTGGAAGGGGATTTTTTTTTTTCGCCAGACTCCTTTGAACGAGGCCGTTTTTTTTTGCGCCGGGTTCCTTCGCCAGAAATCACTTGCAATTTGTCCTGTACGAATGCCAATAGTGATCCCCTGCGTTCTTTTCGCAGATATTCGCCCACATATTTGTGGAGTCCACTGATTTTGGTGCATGTCACCCAACAATCTGTTTAACTTAAACTAATCTGATCTCACACCGATCCTCTCCGGGAAATCCGTTTGACGTAGATAATCTTATTCCCCTAGACGCCCATTATGAAACGAGAATCGGTTTAAAGTTAAACGGATCTGGTGCATGTCATCCTTTGAGTGCAATGGATATGGATTGAGCCAATACCTTTTGAAAAAACGAGCTGTCACTTCTCAGTAACCGAGGGACGTGTTTGTTTACCACACTAGATAACCGGGAGAAAATAATGCTGTTAACTCAATACTTAAGAAAAATTATATTCGCGTCTTCGTGCTCACTACTTCAGGAGGTTTATTAGGACTGGAAAGTCTTTTAATATTAGAATTAGGTAGTGACGTTTTTTTCTTTTTAAATGACTTTCGTATTGTTGACTTCCTTTTACCAGTGATTAATTAACGTTCTCGTTTTGTAGCTATCTCTGGACATCGCCTACACGGAAGACGATATCTACGAACTGTCCCTAGCCCGAGAGCCTAGGAATTCCAGCTCGGTACGACCCATTTCCTCTTCTCGTTTAAACTCATGACATCACAAATCCACCCATTACTGATCCTCCCATTACGAGTCCACCCTGAATCTCCGCCCTTAGCCGCAGGCGTCCCCGACGCGCCCGCCCGTGTTCGCCGAGTGGGTCTCGGGCGTGTGCAGCCGCCCGGACCCAGGCACGATCGAGAAGCACGTCTCGGCCATGGTGGAGGCCGTGTTCAAGACCTACGACACGGACCGGGACGGGTACATCTCCCAGCTGGAGTTCCAGTCCGTCGCGGGGAACTTTCCCTTCATCGACTCCTTCTGCGTCCTCGATGCCGATCAGTGAGGAAAAAAAAAAAAACTTCTCGGGTGTCGTGTCGCGTGACGTACGTGTTTGCGTGACGCTCGCATGTCGTAAACTACTTGGGTCCTTCGCATCGCCTGCCCGAGTCGTGTCGGTCCGACTCGTGCTGTCCACGCGAATATTTTGGAACATATTTGGGCTGGTTGTTTTGCTAAAATCCCCAAATGAAGTACAGTACAGAATTACAGGGTGATCTAAAAATGGCTAGTGTCACTCGTGATTATTTTTTTTAGTATTTTTTTTTATTAATATCACTCTCTCAATGAATCGTCTGCGTTGTAGGGACGGTATGATCAGCAAGTCGGAGATGCAGAGTTACTTCCTTCGGGCGAACTTCAGCCACGCCCTGAGGGGAAGCTTCCGGCATCAGTTCCAGGAGACGACCTACTTCAAGCCCACGTTTTGCTCGCATTGCACGGGACTGGTAGGTTCTCGGAGGGGGTGGGGGATCGATCGTAGCGGAGGGTTGACGGGCGGTTGTGTTGTGTAGCTGTGGGGGCTGGTGAAGCAGGGGTACAAGTGTAAGGACTGTGGCATCAATGCGCACAAGCATTGCAAGGATCTCGCCGTCCTCGAGTGTCGAAAGAGGGATCCCAACTCTCAAGGTGGGTTTGGCTTCTCGTTTGCATTTTGCGGAGGGAGGGGGGGAAATCCTTGTTTTCTTCCGTCATACTTGTGGTTCGGGTCGGCTGGTGGAGCTTGATGATCCGTTACCGATGCGGCATCTTTCGGTGCCGTGCCGAAGAATTTTGATAACAAAAAAAAATAGAAAATACAATTGCATGATGGCGCAATTCGATGGATGAAATTCCGTTTGCCCTTCTCAAGGGTATACAACGGACCAAACCTACTTTCCATCGCGTGTTATTAGCTTATTTATGTTGCTCGGTTAACGGCATCACTGTTGACTTCGTCCGCCATCCGGCTTGCAGCCCGATACGAATTCCAACTTTACGACTGCACGAGGTGTCGTCTCGCGACGGTCGTTCGAGCGTCGACGACATGACCGTCGATACGCGTTCTCGTCCCGACAGACATCTTCGGGATGGGAGCGAAGCCCGGCCGACTGAAGCGACGAGTGGGTCGAGCGAAGCTGAACAGCGGCAGCGACGGGGAGAGCCCCCCGAGCCCCGTGCCCAAGTCCCACCACAACTCCTGCCCCCAGTGCCACCACCGGAAGACGTCCTCGTCCAACACGCTCTCGGTGGAGGAGTCCGCGCAGTGCCCCCGCGTGAGGAAGAACTCCCTTTCCAAACTCATGACCGAGCTGTTCAACGAGGTGAGGAAGCCCTCCCTCTCGAACGAGTGTCGGTGCACGTGCAACCAGGGTCGCCCGGCCGCGGCGTCGACCAAGCCGATCCCGGTGATCCAGGTCCCGGAGCGAACGGACCTGAACCCCGGCTCCCACAGTTACCCCGGCTCCTCGACGGGTCACCCCCTCGTCCCGCATTCGTGCAATCACGGGAATCACTCGGACAGCGTGGACAGCCTCGACTCCGATCCCGATCCGAAGCACGATCAGGAACTCGAACACTGACGCGAAGCACAACGACAGAAAGGATCGAGTGACGATCGATGAGCTCATCGGGCCATCGATGAGCTCGTCGGGCGGGACCACGCGAAGTGACGAGAGGATGAGTGAGAGATGTTTCATTCGAGCAATAACCCCGGTGGTTTTTCTTCTCGAACAAAAACAAAAACTGAAGAGGAGATTTGAATCCGCAACAATTAATTTATTGTTGATTGCGCCCAGTGTGTTCAGTTAACGCAGACGATGAGAGCCAGCAATGCATATCACCCTCCCTCGTTATGCATGATGACAAAATTCCCTCCTGCAAACTCGCAAACTTCCAACTGCACCTCGGAACAGTCAGCTTTATGTTCATTTTTTGCTATGCAATAATCGAACCTATTTTCCCGATTTCCCCCACTATGCACGAGGAAAGGACTCAGGTATCCGAGGGGAAATCGCTAATGAAGACTACTAATTGAGAGGAAATCACAAATTAAGGGGGGAAAAGCGATGGAGCTTTACGCATTTTTATTTTTATTATTTATTCCTGGCGCTTTCTCAGGAAAAACTCACGAAAATTCGCCGTGAAATTCGTCATTCCGACCGTGGGAAAAAAGTTTAATTGGCAATTCAAGAGCTTCGGCATTGCAAATTCATGGATCTCGGCTGTCTGTGCTTTCTCTTTTCTCGCTTCTAGTCGTCGTTGGAAAAAAATGGTTTTTTTTTTTTGCAAAAATCCCGTCGTGAAGTGTGCGAGAAAATCACCCCATACGTGTGGCTGTCGTCGGTGTAGCTTTGCAAATTTCTTGCCAGCCCTTCCTGTGATATAGAGATCTGACCTTCGAGAAAATGCAAAAAAACAGCGCATCGCGGTCGTATTTTTTTCGCTAAATCCAATTCAGCGGTATAACGGTTCGAGGTCACGTAGGATCCCCCGACTGGTCAGGGTTGTGATAATTCGTGGATAACAGCCGATTGTTTATTTAAAACAAATGTACTTGAAATGACCAAATCTCGCCAGTTTTGCCAAGAAAAAAATCCCCACCGGATGAATTTTGAATTTTTATTCCCGGATTTCCGCAAAACTTCTAGCACATATCAACCCCGCTTGTATCCTGGACATATCCAATTTTTTTTTGGTTTTGCTTTAACTCCCCGTAGAATCTCAAAAGTTTTTAATTTTTTTTTTGCTCAAGGACGGAACATCGCATTGATCTCCGAAGGAATTCCAAAGAACGGTGTGTGCATGAACCACCCTGCAAAAAAATTTCGCTTTGAAAATATTTGGCGGGAATTCTAGACAGTCGAGAATTCTTGTTGTATCTGTGATAAATCTGCGGTGAGAAAGAGGCAAAAAATGCTGTTCGAACCACTTTCTTCTTGCAAAAAAAAAATGTTGTTCCCTGTCTCTCTCTTTTTTTCGCCGATGTGAGCGGAACTACAAAGATGGGTGTCTGCAATGAAATGATTTGTGACAGATTTATAAGGAAGAAAATATCTAAACCAGAAATAAAATATCCGATTTAGTTTGAGCCTGTGCCTTCGATGTCATTCACGTTGTTTAATCGGCTTGTTGCTTTTATGCGCCGTTTAGTCCGGGCGGATGCCGCGAGGACACGCACCAGCTGCATCGCGCGAACACCTGAGGATGCAGGGATGGTTGTGTTCTGATTATTCGCAGTTAACACGTGCAAGGTGTCGTGGCGTAAAAAAAAAATACATAAATAAAAATACAATTCTTTTTATATTAAACCTACGGCCTCTGCTCCCTTGTATTGTACGCCATACGAAAATGTGTCATGGGCTCGATACGACCATGTAATTAATGGGTTATGAAATGAATGAGCTGCTAGCCCTGTCATCTGGCGTTCACCCGAACGAGCAAGCTTTTCGCAAGAGAAGAGTGATGGCGCGTGAATCGCCGTTCATCCCCGGTGAGTGCTAGAACTAATAGAGGAAAATCCCCGCATGAGCTTCGTCAAAATAAAAAATTCTATCCCCATGCAAGGCAAAATTTTCTCAAAAACAAGCATTTTGGGGGGTTTTCGGATTTTTTTCTGCTACTGAGAAATTAGCTCGTGTAACAGTGTGTGAATATAATGAGAACATCTTTCACATGGTTAAAAACAAACCGTTCTCCGAGTCGAGCATCAGGTGGTACTCCGGATCGAAGACAAATCCGGAAATTTCTCATATGAACCTGAAACTGACAGAATAGGTATTGCGATGTAGGGAATCTAACGGTGTTCTTTTTTTCGAAAACAGAGAATGATCCTTAAAAGTACTGACATGCTTTCCTTTAAGACGAAGAGGAAAAGTCGCAAAAAAATAGATAGTAAATGTGCTGATTTCTGAATTTTTGCGTTCTGGGATCCTTGCTCATTTTTGCAGGTTGTTAGGTTGATGATGAAGCATTTTGCCCAGAACTCATACTAAGACCATAACCACGTATGAAGTTTTGGAAATGTTTTCCGCATCTTTATATTCGCTACGACTAATGAAGTTCTGCTGGTGACAACCTATATAAAAAGTTTTTCGCTGTCTTCAAACACCGTGGCCTCCTACCACTCGCCCGCGCTTGTGCTTTTATAAAACGAATGATGGAAGCGCATCTGCTGAGCCTTAAGTGTTTTTTTGCAAATTAGAAAGTCTCTGCATGCCTTTGGCGAGGATAAGCCGAATAGGGACTCGAGGATCGCGATCGATCTGCGAGTGACTCAAATTCTCGCACGCGCCGGCGACTCGTGCGTCATTCTTGCGTTGCAAGCAGCAATTTGCTAAGACCTCATTCTGGAGTGTCGTGTTTGATCTCGGGTGGCCTGCAAATAAATGTGACGTAACGGAGCATATCCAGAAAATCCCAATGAGGAGGGGGGGGGGGTTTGACATGAAAAATTTCACCCAGCATATATGGCCAAATTAAAACATTTTGAGAATCGAACCTGCAAAATGTACACAAGGGGGCATGCCGCTGTATAGATGGAGAGTTGCCGTCCTGTGTTCCTACCCTTTTAGAGGAGTCATCTGATGATATCGACTACCTATCGCAGGCATTCGTTGCAGGCCACCTCGAAAAACACCGAGATCCGATAGACTGCGACGTAGGCAATGAGACAAGCGAATATCTGGGACACGAGGCACCCAAAACTCATTACGGGGCGGCACCGCGACGGAAAGTGACATCTGCAGAAAAAGGCTCGAGGAAGGACGTCATGAACGCGCCTCTTCAAATGCATGCCCGAATTCCTGCGCAAGTACCTATAGGCCTCGAAGGAGAAAGAAAAAAAAAACGTCTGGCATTTCTTCGTCCCCGAGGCTACGACCTCCCTTGGAAGGAACTAGACGGCATTTCCGACCCCCTTTTCTTCAACCGGCGGAATTGGCCTAGTTGGCAGAGCGTCCGCGTGCCGTTCGGGAGGCTGGGTTCGATCCCAGCCGGGCCCCACCCAGGCCACGTATTGGGTACCCACCTATTTCCTCCCCGGGGACTATGGCGCTCGGTTCCCGGATTCCGCTAGACGGAGGAACAGGGTGTGGGAAATACATGGGCCATTTGGCCCATTATTTCTTGTAATTTTTCACAATTCCATCGAAGATAAATACCTGTAGATGAAAAATACCGTTTGAGTTGGAGCAGCGACTGCTGTTGCATAATAACGCATTTTATTTTCTGTATCGATGCCCTTTCATGCATGACGTGGCAGAGTATGCTACATGCCGAATAAACATTTTTCGAATGCGTAGGCAGCGAGCTCTCAGCAGAATGTGCAACAGTCCGGTCCCCAACCGTGGGGATAGGTGCCATTAAAAATTAAATTAGGCAAATTAAAAACAACAGGCTTCGTCGTGTGACAGATTGACGTTTATCGTACAATTATCTTCAATTTGACGCTTATCCAGCTCATGCGAAATTTTTACCTTTTCTTTTTGCGTTGAAGTACTGTATGTACGAACCGACTGAGTATCTCTAGCGTCCGTGCAGCGTGGGTTAGAAAGCTGAAAATGCTGTTTGTAGCAAATGAGCAACAATAGCATTTTCGAGCCTACTGCTTACAAATTTGAGGGAAAAAATTTATTCCACTTTTACCATGTTCTAGGACGTGGGTAGAACCCTACCAGATTTTTTTGCCAAAAAAATAAAAAAATCATGCATTAAAGGGTTAAGATGTGTTTCTTCCTTTTCTCACATTTTTTACTTGCTTAAAACAAAGCAACGCCTAGCTTCTCGCATGAAGACTTGGCTATGATCAAAACCTTGCAGAATTGGATGAATCTGGTAAAACAAACTGGCCATAGAAGTGGTCTAGAAGTGGCCCCGTCAGCCTAAAGGCTGACGGGGCCAGAATCAGCTTGAGGTAGTGGAAGGCCCAGAATTCAAAGAACTGAACTGGATCATCGCCAAGTCTTCATGCGAGTAGCTAGGCGTTTTAAAAAATTCGGGAAAAGGAAGAAACACACATCAAAACATTGATACAGAAAATAAAATGTTCTTATTTTCTGCATGGTTCTCATTTTCATCCTGATGAAACATAAAACGTGTGAAAAACATAACAAATAATTTTATATCTGCTGCAAGAGAGTTGCTCCATGTGTGCTTACTCAAATCGAGGCATTGCAGCCTGATTATGCATGTGGAAGTCAATAGCTTGGTGTTTTTTTAGACACCCTGTAGGCGGTTACCCAAAGAAATGGGCGGAATTACGTGGATTTACCTCATACTGTTGTATGACAAAGAAAGTTTGGGCTTTACTAAAACCACTCACGTATCAGACGGACCTGGAGAGGGAAAAAAACTTGCTTTCTGTCCCCCCCAAGGGATATTCTCCATGCATTACGATATGAAAAGAATTTCTGCTATTTATTTAATTTAAAAAAATTAATCGATGATATGGATGAGAAGAGTTCCAGACGTTTCCTCTCGGGTGAAAGTCTTAGTATCTCTTTCATCGTCTTCGTAACTCCCTTCTGAACCCTCTGCCGTTATATCTAATGGAGTCTAACCAATGATTATATTTGGCTGCCGTCGCCGTTTACCATTAGACCTATTGAACACGAGTCACTTTTCGCTCTGCTCGCCGTCCTCCTCCCTTCCCGGGGGAACCATTTTTTTGTATCGTCGGCAAATTTGCCAATTTTTCTCGAAAAGCTTTGATCATTAATGCGAACCAGGAATCGAAAATGACTCTGCTCTCTTCCCTCCGCCTTCGATTCAGCTCACGACCTTCGTCCGTCGGCGGATCCAACGACCTTCGCTGTCTGCGAGGAAGGGAAATTTCCTTGCAGCCAGTGAGACTCGATGACCTTGGCCCTTTTTTTTCTTCTTTAGATTCCAGTCTGGATCCACACTGAGAAATGCCCCCCCCCCCCCAAAAAAAAAACAAAAAAAAAACAATAAAAATCTGGATTGCTCGATATAGCGGAGAAAAGCACACATTTGAATTTTGGATATCCGTGTGCCATTAGGGACGGTGGAATTGTCGGACGGGACGAGATTTATCTCCTCTGGATACCAAGAATCACGACTGGAAAATGCCATTGACGTTTTGTTCCAGCGAAGGAAACGAAATTGACCGCTCTTCGAATTTCTCACATAAGAAACCAGAGAATCCAACAGATTAAAATTGTGCTGGGACCGAAAAGGAACAAAAAGGAAACTCACCGAAAGTTCCAGGATGCTTCCACGTCTAAACACGGTCCGAAAAGAAAAAACTGATAAAGGAGTCATTCTTTCACCCTGCGGCGCGCACGAGTGAGTGAAGCCGTCATGATCGGGCGACAGTGTTGTTCGAAGAATTTTCGAACGGAATATCCCTAAATAACAAATGAAATAGCCAGAGGGGGAATGATTATAACTGACTCCAAGAAAGCAACAAGTTTTTCATCCAATCATTTCCTACTCCAATGATCGTAATGGTATCGACGAGGACAGTTTCAAGAGAAATCAGCTGTTCCATCTGTCCCTTGAGCAAGGTCAAGTACACATTCGAGATGCCAATGAAGCAGGGTTCTCTAAATAAATAAATAAAACTCCAAAATCAGAGAGAAATAGAAAATTAAGACTGAATTGCATACAGCGGGGAATTTGAAGCTCAAAGAGAAAGTGGAATTCCTGAATTGTGGAAGCTACAAGCGAAAGTTCATTTGTGCACTCGTGCAAAATTGATGAGAAGAGCATTTCTCAATTGCGTGTACTCGAGAGAAGAAGGAAGCTGAAGCGGTGGGATCGCAGAGAATTGACCTAAAAGCTCATTCCCCCTCACCCAATGCATACGGACACGAGAACTCAATAGAGGGATGAATACTCGGGGGATTTGATATGCTCTCTCCTAATGATCGCCAGCAGACACATTTTTGCAGCCAGTGAAGTCTCTGCTCGGCAAGTTTTAGCATAGGAACACCGTCAAAAGGGAAGGCAAGGCTCAAGATACAGTGGGAAAAAAATTTTTTCACCCGTTCGCCCTCAGTATGTCAAACGCCGAGTAACGGAATCCTAGACGGAGCACAGCCCATCCAAGCAGCGCTGGAGACCCACTTGCGTCCTAACGACTGCGCTCCCTCCTCCCTCCCGCTTCCTCCCCGCGTAGAGCCACTCCAGTACATCTGGTCTATTCTTACATCTTGTCCATCCGAGTGTTTCCATGGAGTACTAAGCCATCAGGCCGCGACGCCCGATAACCACTTTCAGTCGAGTGTTTCGGCCAACAGAGCTCCGTACTAACTAACTTCGTTGAGACTTGTAACCGGAATGAAATGGCTTACGAACCAGCCTTGCAAACCAACCCTAAATTCGTTGCATGTAATCAAGCTTATCCTCATCGCATACTCTCTCACTCATCGAAAAGCCCAAAGTTCCATACCCACCTAGAAAAGAAAAAAAAAATTTTAAAGAGGCACGGAGGAAAAAAAAAATAAAGAGGATCATACGAAGCTTCCGGTTCGTTTGAATTCAGCAGCAAACCCCCAAGTAATTACTTCCAACAACTTCCACATCGACTTTCTTCAATACCAAGTGAAACGCCATGAAAAGTCAAACGCTGCAGAAATAAAAGGAAATTTATTGCAAGTCATCATTAACCTCAAGAAACCCAGGACCTCACCGGCACGAAGAAAAGGAAGCGACTAGACGGGCGGGGATCCCCCCCGATAGGCAAGCATAGGCTGCAGAGAATCCCGAAAGCTGTTAGACCAGATGCACTCGAACTCGTCCTCGCACATTGGGTAGAGCGCAGTTAGTCCCAAGAGGAGGAGCATGAACGCCTGGACGGGCAGGGCTGCCCGCAGCACCCGACTCAGGTATCTCGAACTTCCGCCCAGCATTCCCCGGACGCTCCATCTGCTTGAATTCATGGGAACGCTTGAAGGGTGCTTTCAAGGAGCAGGTTTCTCACTTTTCTTGATCGAATTTTATCATGCTAGTGGGTCGAGGAAACGTTCGGGAAAGAAAACTTGAACCGTTATTTATTGCGAAACGACTGATCCATTCGAGAATAGGGATTTTGAATTTGAGAAAGTGAATAGAAGAAGGGCCTGGACTTCCGATTAAGAGATCATTGAATCCTTTCTTACTATTTTTCTAATGTATTGCCAACAATGAAAACTGATGTAGCAGGCAACGTTCGTAAGCTTACCACAGCTTCTTTATAACAAAGGAAATTTTCAATTATGAAGGCATAATGAAATTTCAACATTTATTTTTAAAAATTATTTTCCAGAGATTAAAAGATTTCAGGAGAGGCACACCACAAAATACCAGTAATGCTTTTGGAGGCAATTCGTTTGACAAATTAACCTTTAATAAGTATATTCTCAGAATTTTTTTTTTTTGGAGGGATGGTTGTCGGCCATGAAGCAAATTTCAAGTCACAATCCTTCTTGAAAAGAAAACAGTTGTTTTGAAGTCTCTAACCTGGAAAATGCGGCAGACTCGAGAGTCCCAAGTTGGTTTTGGATCTGTTGCAAAAGGGAGGCATGGAGGGACTGAAGAGCCCAGACGTGATGCTGCATCGAATGCCGATCTCTCACGCTCACGCCTTCGCTCGCTCGGTCCATTTCGGTCCTCATTTCTTCCATCGGAAGATTCCTCAAGACATGCCTCCATTCCTAGGCATCGAAATTGCCTGGGGTTACAGGGAGAACTCGGCGACACGTGCAGCAAAACGACATTCCGATACCGACCTGCAATAGGGTGGCATTGTGGAGAGTGCCAAGGAACCTTTGGCACTCGACAAGGCACTTGTGGATGCCTCCGAAGAGAAGGAAGAACTTCTTGATGGAACCCTGAAGTCGTTCCAAGTGGTCCATCCACGTATGGATCCCGGCTCTCAGGTTCTTCTCCCGGGTGTGCCACGACTGGAAGGAGGATGCCAGCACCCTCCATTCGCTTCTTCTGTCTCCGTCTCCTTTCTTCAGTTCCTGTTCGAGCGCCTCCAATGACCTTCTGCATGGCTCTTCCAGCGTCTCCGTGTTCAGTTTCTCTTGCATTTTCTGAGTATAAACACATCATTACTGTTCTGTGATTTGAAGATTTTTATGAGGCACAGTAGAATAATATTGTTACGGAGGGGAAGTGGGAGAAGGACGATGGAAGGCATGAGAGGACGAAAGAAGCCAAGGAACGGCCGGGAATTGAACCCGGGCCTCCTGATTGCCGGTCAGGTGTGCTACCTCTACACCACCGAACCCCGGACATTCAGTCGAGTCTCAGGCTTGGAGGACGGGCCTCCTGATTGCCGGTCAGGTGTGCTACCTCTACACCACCGAACCCCGGACATTCAGTCGAGCCTCTCGATGCCATCCTCATCCGTCACAATATCAGCAAAGGCATGAACAAGGTGGAAAATGGGAATTGCACATTTTGGTCCCTAACAGAATTGAAGTCACTACAGACTTATATGGAAACGCACTATGTAAAAATTCCAATTGCATACCAGGAAACGTTGAGCAAGGATCGGAATCTCAGCAATGCTTGGATATTCACACATTATTTCCTCGTTCTCTCTCTCACGAGCTCGTACCCAAGCCCCGTATTGTTCCAATGCAGACTTTGCCTCCTCCCAGCAGTGAAGCAATCGATTCACATGATTCAGTCGAGAAGACACCTTCGACAGGAGATTCCTCTGTCTGGATGCCAAAGGTTCAGTCTCACTGTCCTTGAATGAGGCCTCCAGCTGACTAGACACAAGGCACTGAAGCACCTGTTGAAGAGTTTTCATGCATTTCTATAAGCAGGGACTTTGAAAGTGAATTGCCAGGAAAATGGAGGACAAACTTGAAGACGTTGAGCATGGGCATGAAGGAGAAGAGGCCCAGAGGGTATCTCATCGACAAGAGCCTCCTCGCCCAATGCCATGAGCCGCTCGTGGCATTGCCTCACTTCGATCGCTCCCATACGGGACAAAAGGGTTGTATAATGCTCGTGGGCCTCCATGCACAATTCTTCCCATAGCTGAGAATACATAGATCTTTCAATATGCAGCCAATAGTTGAATTTTTACTGGGGTCTGAGGACTACTGACCTTGAGTACATGATTGAATTGAGAGGCATGAGGTTGGGTGATGCCATGAGAAATGAGGGCCTCTGATAACTCCTCTCTCTCTGTACACAGTCCCTCTACATGTGACAGGATTTGTCCTGCATTCCAATCCTCTTGCATTGCCTGTATACCAGAGACGCAATCAATAACCATACAACATTCTGGCAAGTGTGTTTCCATGGCGCAATCACTCACATGCTCAATTTCTAGGAGACCACTGAGTGACTTCCCGGTGAGGGCCTGGAGGGTCTCCTGTTTACTCAGTTGCTCCTGCAAGGCATCCAGGCCATTTTTAATGGCTGAGAAGTTCTTCCTCAGATCTCGAAGTGTCTCTAGGATCCCTGTATCATTGAAGGCAGGCACACACTTCTCCAGATCATTTACTTCTGCCATTCTTCTCTCATATTCTCGCCATAGACCCTGCAAAAGACTTCACTGTGAGAGCAGGAAGAATGACACAGCATATGTCACTCACAAGGATGCCCCCCCCCCCCCCCCGACATGAATTCCACATGTGTCAACATACAAGAAGTTTCAGTCAAGGTAAGCCACAAGTGATACTGTCACCAAGAAAGAACACGAAAATAAAATCAATATTGACTCAGGAGGGATCACATGTACATTTGAGGCATGTTTCAGGCTCACTGTTTAACATCACAGACTAAGGCCAGACTTTTTTTTTTTGCAGAGAAAGTTCTGATAAGATAAGCTTCTCCCACCTTAGATAAGGGGGCTCATTCACATTTTATTGACAAACCTTGTAACTTGTAATGATGAAAAGCTCACGATGAAAAAATGAAGCTATTCACCTCAATCTCCTGAACACTGGCTGGACAGGGTTGGAGAGTCAAAAGTTCATTCTGACTCAGGGAAGCCCATCGACCAAGATTCCTCATTGTTTCTAGGCATGACTCAAACTCTTCCTTCCTCTTTGCCTAAGGAAGAAACAATTTTGGGCTAATTTAGTAACAAATCTAAGGACAAGATATTGCTCATGATGTCCTGTTCTCACCTGTTCTTCATCAGATATCTGGTTAGATTTTATCACAGCTTCTTGATAGAGTTCATTGAGAGGAGATTCTGTTGGAGATTCAGGACTGAATTGTTCTATTAGTGAGGAGATTCCTGATTCACTTCCATTCATGATCTGCTTGAATGAATCCCTGAGCTCCTCCAAGTCAGCCTGCCCTCTTGATTCCTGAATCTGAAACCTGAGCTGCAGGGACTCTGCCATGAGACGTCTCGTGAACGGCCCTTCCTCCAAGCCGCACCTCCGTTGCTGAGCCTTCAGGAGAAGCAGCTTGTGAATGTGGCCATTGATGCACACTTCAAGCTCCTTCAGTCTCTGACATAGATCTGATCGTGGCATTGCAGTTGATGAAACAATCTGGAAGTCCTTTGAGGTTTCTGCTATGAATGAACTGATCAAGGCCACTCCATTGGAAATGTCTTGCTCAGTTTCCTGAATAGACCTGCCATGAATAGAGGCATACTGTGCTTCTACAGTCAATGCATCATCATGAGCTTTCAGTATTTCTCCATCAGTTTCTGATTGAGAAGAGACAGACTCATTGCTAGCAGAGGAGTTTTGATGGTCTTCTTGAAGAAAATCTTTTGGGCTGGGAAGGACCAAGTCTGTGTCTATCTGGGCTCCTGCCATAAAACCAGTGAAATCTTCCTTGAGTTCTTCCTCGTCTGGCAGATGAATAGCTGCTTTCTCAAGGGGAGCAGATTCTTGGATGGAATGCTGAGATTTCACATCCACCATGATTTTCTTGTCAAAATTTTCCACTTCTGATTTAGCAGAGTCTTCATTTTCCTTCTGGGCCTGCTGATAATCTCTAAAGTCATCACGATTACTATCACAGGGTTCATGCTGCTGCAACAGTCCCGACAGGAGAACATCTCGGTACGTTCTCTTGTCTTCGGCTCCTGCTGTTCCAAGCTGTCCATCATCAAAAACCAACCATTCATTTACATCACCAACCGGTTTTCCCTCAGGTACATCAGTCAGATTCTCAATACTGGGGTGAGAGATCCCTTTCTCAGATATCACAGACACTGTCTTAAAATTCCCATGTGTCCCATCAACAGGGTCTGCAACTCCCTCAGAATGAACATCAGGGCAAGGAATCATACCAGAAAACACTGGAACTCCAAAAGAGCCGTCAGGGGTTTCCTTGGCAGCTCCTTCTGACTTAATCAACTCCTTTGGAACATCGACAGATATTCTCTGTTTTTCTTCCATGTGTTGAATTTGGGTATCATCTGGAATTGTCAACAATGCAGGAGCACTCTCAACAAGATTTTCTTCCTGCCCTTTGTTCTGACTCACAGGTTGTCCCACATAACTCTCACAGATGTGATGTTCCTCATCACACTTGAATCCTGTCAAGCCCCCCTCCTCTAGCAGAAATGGCTCCAGATCCTCACACTTATATACATTTGGTTCCATGTATCTCTCATGAACACCATCTGTCTGTAGAAAATCACCATCAATAGCAGTATCAAGGTCAGATGAGAAATGCCTGCCATCTGCTTCATCATTTTCATCCAGCCCTTCCTCAGTCTCAACGAAGAAAGAAGGAATGCCTTCTTTTGTCATATCTTCATAAACTTCCCATATCTCTGGACAGGCAGACTCTCTCAAAGGTTCTTCAGCGACACTAGAGGTGGGGACATCTTTCTCATCTGATAACGGCTTTGTTCCCTTTGCAGGCACATGCAGTTCCTCTTCCATGAAGTCATGCATTTGTAAGGCATGAGATCCAAACCCAGATGCTCCATGGGTAGAAGGGTGATGGGCAGACCCATCTGCATCCTCCGAATCGAAAGGCTTCTTCTCCATAGGATTTCTGGCAATCTCATCTGATATATGCTTTCTCCAATCTTCAGAAGAATCTTCTCCAGGAAGAGAAAATATTGATAGTTCCAGGAGCAATTCTGCTTCAGACATATTCTCCACAGAACAGTATTGGGGTTGGTTCAAATTTTCAACAACTTGAGACACTTTTTCATCACATGAAAACTCTGGCATTACAGGATGAATATGAGCTTCATGCCTTTCCTGCAGTTTATTTTTCTCTATCAGAACCACAAGCTTCTTTCTGCTGTTCATCTCTTCAGGCACTTGGTCTCCTGATTCTTCTCCAGGATGATATTCACCATGGGGTAATTCTACTTCGGAGGTTCTCGCCGCTGTTCTGTACAGGGGGTGTTCATGATCGTACTCATCTGTTTCAGATACTTCATGGAATGAGAGATCTAAAGTCATAGGAGGATGATGATCCAGAGTCAGATATTCCATCTCTGAAGGATCCTTGTAAACTCTCACATTGTTACCATCGTCTCCTTGAAAAACATGTTCATCTTCTGGAGATTCTTGAAAAACATGAATGTCTCTTATTTGAGAAAAAGGCACTTTGCTCAAAGCAGCATATTCAGGAGCATCATCAACAATAACCCTCAGCTCTGTCTCATCTGGACGGTCTTCTGTCCATTCACTCTCAAACGCAGTCCCAGGACCAGTTCCTGGAACACCATTATCAAAACTATCTTCCTTTTCATCTGGATGCTTTACCTTTGGCTCCCTCTCATATGGAGTTTCATCCATCTGTTCCATCTCATCAGGATGCTCTACTGTCCATTCACTCTCAAAGGCAGATCCAGAAACACCCTCACCAATGCACTCTTCTATTTCATCTACATACTCTTCCTTTTGCCCAATCTGATACAGGGTCTCCTCCTTATGTTCCATCTCATTTGGAGACTGTTCTTTCTGTTCCATCTCATCTAGATGCTCTTCTGTCCATTCACTCTGAAAGCCAGTACGTGGAACACCCTCCGCGAAGCTCTGTTCGTTTTCATCTGGATGCTCTTCCTTCTGCCCCATATGATATAGAGCTTCTTCTTTCTGTTCCATCTCATCTGGATGCTCTTCTGTCCATTCACTCTCAAAGGCAGTTCCTGAAACACTCTCATCAATGCTCTCCTCCTTTTCATCTGGAAGCTCTTCCTTTTGCCCCAAATGATACAGGGTTTCCTCCTTATGTTCCATCTCATCTGGATGCTTTTCCTTCTGTTCCATCTCATCTGGATGCTTTTCCTTCTGTTCCATCTCATCTGGATGCATTTCTTTCTGTTCCATCTCATCTAGATGCTCTTCTGTCGATTCACTCTCAAAGCCAGTTCCTAGAACATCCTCCTCAAGGCTCTGTTCTTTTACATTTGGATGCTTTACCTTCTGCCCCTTCTCATATGGAGTTTCCTCCTTCTGTTCCATCTCATCTAAATACTCNTCCTTTAAGTTCGAAATCATCTGGACGTTCTTCCTTCTGTCCCATCTGATACAGAGCTTCTCCTTTTTCCTCCAATGCATCTAGATGCTCTTCTGTTCTTTCCCTCTCAAATGCAGTTCCTGGAACACCCTCATCAATGCTCTCCTCCTTTTCATCTAGATGCTTTACCTTCTGCCCCTTCTCATACAGAGTTTCCTCCTTCTGTTCCATCTCATCTGGATGCTCTTCTGTCCATTCACTCTCAAAGCCAGTACCTGGAACACCCTCCGCAAACCTCTGTTCTTTTTCATCTGGATGCTCTTCCTTCTGCCCCATATGATATAGAGCTTCTTCTTTCTGTTCCATCTCATCTGGATGCCCTTCTGTCCATTCACTCCCAAAGGCAGTTCCTGAAACACTTTCATCAATACTCTCCTCCTTTTCATCTGGATGCTTTACCTTCTGCCCCTTCTCATAGATAGTTTCCTCCTTATGTTCCATCTCATCTGGATACTCTTCTATCAGTGTCATGTCATCTGGATGCTCTTCTGTCCATTCACTCTCAAAGCCAGTTCCTGGAACACCCTTATCAATGCTCTGTTCTTTTTCATCTCCATGCTCTTCCTTCTGCCCCATATGATACAGAGTTTCTTCTTTTTGTTCGATTTCATCAGAATGCTCTACTGTTATTTCATTCTCAAATTTACTTCCAGCAACACCCTCAGGAATTCTCAGCTCCTTCTCATCTGAAGGTTTTTTCTTCAACTCCTTCACATTTGAATGTTCTCCTTTCTTATTGGGACTTCCATGAATACTTTCATCAAACCTTTGTTCCCTCTCACCTGGAACATATCTGTCCTGCTTCCTCTCTGATTCTTCTTTGGTCACCTCACTTTCAGAGGTATTTCCAGGTACAAGCTCATCAATAAATTTTTGCGCAATTTCATCTTGAGATTCTCTGGTTACTTCTCCATTGGGGAAATCTTCATTGATATCTGACTTTTCCAACATTGTCACGTCCTGAAGACAGGGAGTTTCATGGTTTTCAATAGGAGGAAACTCTTCCCTCCCCTCTTCAAAACTAGGATACTGATGTATCCTTGTCTCTGACTGTTCCTTTGGTGAAACTTCCATCTCCTTGTTAATAATGTGAAGATGGTCTGCATCAGGATCATATGCAGGACTTGATAGGTCTCCACCCTCAACTGATACTTCTTCAGTGCCATGTTTCAATGTGTTTTCTATTGACTCAAGATTAGCATCATGTGAAACACCTTCCATAGTGGGCATGAAAGCAAAAATTTCTTTTTGGTCAGAAACATGGGAATCCAACTGAAGGAGAGCTGGATATGAATGTTTAGGAAAGTTTTCTTTGTCTCTCCAGTCTTTCTTGCCAGAAAGTTCTTCATGCATCACATCGATTGGAGGCTCATTCATTGTTGAATCTTTCACCTCAGGGGAGGATGTAATTCTCTCATGGCTTTCATCCTCTTGCTCAGCTGACTGTCTTTTTTTCTGAGAAACTTCCATGTCATTTCCAACAATGTCATCAGATCCAACAGAAGCAATGCATTCATCTTTTTCCCCACATGTTTCTTCACCTCTCAGCTGCTCTTTCATGAATTCTTTGACCAGAGATCCTTCAGCCTCTCCTGGAATGTTTATATAATCACTCTGCTCATCATCATGGCTATACTCAGATGCTTCTTCAACCTCCAGAGGCTCTTTCTGAATGGCATGTTCTTTTGGCTTTTCTTTGGCCTCTTCACTGATAAGATCAACCTCTATTTCACTGATACCTTGATGAACTTCCTGCTCTCCAGATGGAGCCTGGTTCCATTGATCTTGCAAATATTGTTTGTATTCTTGTTTATTCGAGCCAAGCATTCCTTCAGGTGAGAAAGTATTGAACTTATCCTGAACAGCAGATCTTTCTTCTAATTGGACTGATGATATGGTTGCAAATTCTTCTAGTAGCTGTGGCTCACATGAATATCCAGAGGCTTTTTTCTCTCCATCAGATGTAACTGCACTTTCAGAACTGCATTTTGCACATACATCTTCAAAAGACGCATCTTGGACACCTTCTCGAGTTTCTTCTGGGGCACTTGAACCATACAGAATCATATTTGCATCTCCAGCTTCAGAAAGCTTCTCATCAGGTTGATGTTCTTCAAATTTTGCATGCACTGGAGACTGAATGACTGCACCTACACCTGATGTCTTTCCATCACAAACCAAACTTGACTCCCCTTCCTCTAAAGCAGGGGATCCCACTTCATCATCTTCCCCAAACTCATCCTGGACATGTGTAGCAGCAAAAACAGAAACCTCCATCTCAGGTGGCAAAGATTCTTTAATACTGTCAGAAGGCTCTTCCCATTCGCTATGACCAAAAGTTTCCCCAATAACATCCTCATCAGCTGGAGAGGCAAAGGCAAAACCTAGCTTTTCTTCTGGGAGTGTAACTTCAGGCATGTTTGCCTCAAGCAGTTCCAGGACATCATCTTCATCATTCATACTCTTTCTGTCACAAGTTTCAGATTCTGATGTGCCTATCTTGGATGAAAACAAGAGTGATGGAGGAACATCTGCAGGAGAGCTCTCCTCTATTTCCTCACTCATTGCAGGTGTGTCTGCTTCAGGTGTCTCCAGTATTACACCTTCATCCACACCTTCTCTTTCGTATATTCTTCTCAAAGGTTCTTTAGATGCTTTGTCTGTCTCTGAAGAATACTTGAATGATGGAAGATCATTAGATGGATAGTACTCTGCTACTTCTTCATTAATCTCAGGTATGCTTGCCTCAGTCTCCTTCAGTATTTCAACTTCACCCTTCATATGATCTTTTTCACTTTCCCCTGGTTCTTCTGATCCTCCATCCATCTCAGAAGTCGCAAGTAAAGGAAGAATATCTGAAGCAGAATGCTCCTCAATTTGTTCACTCACATCAGAGCTTACTTCAACCTCCTTCAGTTTTTCATCATCATCCACACTCTCTCTTTTGCATATTGTTTTCACCAATTCTTCTGACAGATGACATGTGGTTTCATCTATCTTGGAAGAGGGCATGACTGATGGCAATTCCAAAGCAGAGTGTTCCTCTACTTCTTCAACCATCCCTGTTTGCTGCTCCATCACTTGATCAATATGCTCTTGCTCTTGCTCGGGTGAAATTGAAGCTACTGTCCATTCTTGTACTTCATACCCTTCTTCAGTCTCTTTGGGAGGTTCAAGGTGAGACACTTGTGAATTTTCCACAGAAGGTGTATCATGAACATGAGACTCATCTTCATGCTTGTTGTCATCAAATCCCCTTTTATGGATTATGTCTGAAGAGAAAGTGAATGACACTTCTTCTAAGGCATGTGATGGCTTCACTTTGTGGATTCCAAAAAACTCTACAGGGCCTGAATTATCATCATCTGCATCTCTTTGACAGAAAACGATAGGCAAGTGCTCATCAAGACTTCCTTCAGAATCTTGCCCTGATAAAAATATTGACTCTTCAGATGTATTCAGACTTTCTAACGGGCATGGTTTTGCCTTCAAGGCAGATGGTCCTGTGAGATCTCCAGAAAACTCGACAGGACCTGCATCTTTCAAGGCACCACATTCCTCATAGACGAAAGAAAATGAGGGCTCATCAGGACTTACTCCAGAATCTTGCTCTGATCGAAACCCTGGCTCTCCAGAAGATTTGGGACTTTCTGAAGTTAAAGGCACCTTCTCCAAGGCAGATGATGCTTCCACTGCTCTGTCTCCACTACACTCCTGGATATTGCCACTTTCACTATCAAGTTCTTCTGAGATAAAGGAGGATGGGTATCCATAAGGACTGAATCCAGTATCTAGCTCAGATAAAAGCGTGGGCTCTCCAGATTCATCTATACCTTCTGAAGTGGATGGAAATTCCTTCAAGGCAGATGACAAGCCTTCTGTTAGATCACCAGTAAATTCCATGGGACCTGCAAGTTCAAAACCAGCAGGTTGTTCATATATGAAGAAGAATAGGTGCTCATTGAGGCTGCCTTCAGTATCTTGCTCTGGCAAAACCCTTTCCTCTTCAGACTCTTCTCCTTTAGCTAGACAAGGGCCTCCAGAAGCATCCCAGTTTTGTTCATCGACAAAAGCAGATACACCATCAATGGGATTCTCTTCTAAATCTTCTCCAGTGAAAAATACTCTCCCATGAGGACCTTGCAAATCTTCCCAATGAACATGAAAAAAGTCATTTGGGGCTACTTCTGAAGGGTGGAACTCTTCAATTTCATCAAGATAGACTTGCCTCTCGGGTGGAAAATCATGTTCTTCCAGACTTTCCAATAAGACTGCCTGCACTCCCCAAGATTCCCCAAAATCTCCTTCTTCATATTCCATCATATATGCTCCCCTGGGGATAAATTCTTCAGAATGGTCTTCCCTCCAAAGTTCTGCCTGATCTTCCATAACTATTTCCTCTGTTGGAGAGGGGTCTGTTCTGGGTTGGAAGGCAAGTGCATCCTTTGGTTCATCTGTCTTCTCTTCTTCAGACTCTTTCCCACTGTCTGAAGTCTTTGTCTCAGCAAGAAAAGCAGCTGCTCCTCCCTCCTCTGCCATGAGACCTACTGGCAAAACCTCAGGCACATGTTCATCTTCCCATGTTTTGTCTTCCATGGGTTTTTCCTGCAGTTCAGCATCTCCTTCAGAGGGGAGATTCTCATCCAAGGGCTCCATTTCCCTTTCCTTCTCCTCCACACTCTTTTCAACATGGGCACTGTCTGGTTTTCCCTCCCCAAAGATCTGGTCATTCTGTTCCTCCACTTCCTCCATGAACTTATTGTCACTCTGTTCTTGTGGAAGATAGGCAGACACTCCTTCCTCTGCATAGATGGCATAATTCCCAGGCCACTCATCTGCTGCTTCAGAGCTGGATAATTGATCAGACACAACTGCATGAACCTCTCGATGTGCATTTCTTGGCTTCAGAAGAGGCAATTCCAGTTTTTCAACAGGGGCTTCTGTTACATCATGGTCTGGTAAGGCTGCTCCTAAGTCACCATCAAGTGATTCCTTCATGGATAGAGGAAGTTCTTTGGCAGCAGGCACAGATTCCTGAAACAATACTTCAGTATTTTGCAAGTCCCACTTCTCAGTTTCTCCAGTATCTTTGAATTCCTCAGTTGTTTCAATAGAGCCACTGTCAGGACCAGATTCTGCCACTTCTGATTCTGCAGCTGATGCAACTAACACATGTTCATCTGTCAGCTTTCCATACTCCTCTTCTCTCTCATGTAAATTTTCATCATATGTTGGGTGGGTCATGTGCAAGTCCTCATCAGACACAGCTTTCTCTACTGCAGTCAAAGGTACATTTTCCTCTATGTGCAGTTCTGAATCTGAAGCATACACCAAGTTACCCATTTCTTGTTCTGTGGAATATGATCTTATGCATCCTTGAAATTTACCATCTTCACCATCTGTCACCAACTCCTCATCCATGTGAGATGTCTTCCCTCCATTAGCTGTTAGTGGCACCTGAGCTCCATCAAGGGACTCTTCCTCCTTGCCTGCAGGATCCATGGCTTCCATAAGTGCTGCCTTGTCAAGGAGAACCCTATCTTCTGCTTCTCCCTCAAGAGTAGAAGTCTGTGTTTCAGGGATATTGTACTTACCATCATGTTCATTTTCCCATTGCTGATTATCAGTGTCTTCTAATGAAGATCTCTGACCTATTTCTACTGAAGAAGAGAGGGCAAGTAATTCTCCATACTCCTCATGGGAACTGTCTGTAAACCCTTCTAGGTTATGAGTATGATCCTCTGCTGTTGAAAGTGGGGAAATCCCAATTTCAATTGCAAGTGCTTTTGGCATTCCATGACTAATTTCATGCTCCTGAACATCGTCATCATTCTGATCCTCCACATATTTTGATGACCTACTATCTGCAGAAAAATTTGTATCTCTTGATGATATCACTTCTTGGGGGTCATCTTGAAATACCAATTCCTTTCCTGGAGAACAAGATGCATCAGGAATGCTCTCTTCTATTTCTCGAGGAAAGTTTGCATTCTGCATTTCTGGAAAGTCCTCTCCAATGAAGGAAGGGAAAGAAGGATCTTCTTCCCCTGTAGCTGGGGCTTTAAAGAAGCTCTCTTCAATTTGGTGCTCTTCTGGAAAGCCTCCTATCCAGCTATGGTCTTGTGAAATAGATGGATAACCTTCCACAGGTGAGTAAGGGATTTCAGGAATGCTTTCACTGGAGTAGTAGTCTTCCCATAGGTTATCGTGCAATGGTATTCCAGCTCTCTCTTCATTTGGTGTTGCATGCATTTCTTCAGGCAAAGCAGCAGATAATGTTCCTCCATCAGCAAATTCTTCTTCCCAATGTTTGTCCTTGACTAGATTGTCATGGAAGAGCTCCTCATGAGGATGACTTGGGACTTCCACTTCCTCTACAGATCTCTTTACATCACCTTCTGCCTGTTCTTCCTCCTCTTCCATTCTTAAACTGACTTCTGATTCCAAGTTGTGAGGTGATCCTCCTTCACCTCCACTCCTATCACTTATTGGATGTTCAAGTTCATGCTCGAGCAGTTCTTCGTGTTCTAACTCCTGCGTGCATGTCCCTCCTTGGAATGTCAAAGCTTCTGTTTCACTGGGCAATGCTGAGGTTTCAAGTTGACCCACTGTATCCTCCATCACTGAAGTGGCTTCCTTGTCAGATATTTGTCCAACATGGACTGTCTTGCTACTGTGAGCTGGGTCAGAATCGCTCCCTGAGGCTACCTTCTCTGACACACTGGGCTCTTTCACAGTCTCTTGATCAGGTACCTTCTTCTTAATGCGCCTCATGATGACCTTCCTCTCACACTTGCGCCTTCTCACCACACGGGACCTCACAACCAACCTACCTGAACCCAGTCCTTCTGCATTGAAGGATTGAACTTCAGCTGCAGTACTGCTCTGCAACGTCAGGGGTCTTGAGACCTCTTGTATCACAGATGCAGGACTCAGTAGGCCGGATTCTAACAGACCAGGAAAGCTAGCTCTCAGGTCATCTGCAATGAAGACCTCACTGTGCCCCTCCCCAGGATACCAGCGAATGATACGCTTCTCTTCGCGTTTCTCCTCCTCTCCAGAGTCTGATGTGAACTGAGACTTGAACACCTCCATGGCTGACTCCTGTGTTGGTAGAAAAGATGAGTCAAGTTTTCAATAACATGCATAAAAGAATGGATTCCATGTGCAGTACAACTCAATTGCCACAAAGCCTTGTAGCAGCAGAGGTTTTATTAAACTTAGACATTCTTGGGGAAGCAAAAACAGCAACCATGAGAACCATAGGATCACTGAGCGCATCAAAAGAAGCACACCGTGCATATTAAGCATAGCAGACCTACCTAATCTTACTATCATAGTTGGAATAGGCTATAATAATCAGATAGCAATACTGGACCTATTGATTGAGAACCTATGGGGTCAGTTGGTGGCAGCAAAAATATTCTTTTTCAATATAGGTAGATGGATAGTAGTAGGTTGTTGTTAGCATGATGTATGGACATGCATGGTGAATTTTCCATGCATTGGTCAGGGATCTCTCAATGCTACAACCACAGAGTTTGAAACATTCCCAGCTCACTGTGAAGGTGTACTGAAGACATAGGTGATTCCTTTCAATGGGGGCCTTCACTCGATCAGAGAAGCAAGACCTGACTTCTTCCTCTTTCTCAAAATTATTCTCCTTATTTCCTTCCATTCATGAGTCCCAATTATGACTTAACACTTACACTGCAAACCTAGGTCTGTGAAATGATGGATGTCAACTCTACAATACATCTTTTATAAAAGATAATATATAGCTACTTGGAAAGAAAGAACAAGCTCTGCCTACGAGGGGACTCGCAGCAGCTGACCCTGTTTCTTCATTCACATAAAGGAGCTTGTTTCTCAAGTACTTGTAGTGTGTTTCATGTGGGATGAGCTAATAAAGTTGAACTCTCCCTGAGCTGTAATGTTCTGTGTTTTTCATTATAAAGTGCCAGTAGGATAACACAACCTTATATTGATTGGCCCATTGGAAATACTATTGCTCTTCATGCATGGTCTATCTGATTAATTATGCCAATTGGCTCTATGAATCCCATTAAAATTACAATAAAATAATTCTTTAATTTTCATTTAATACATGAACATAAAATGGTCAATTTGACAATCAAATTACTTACTAGTTAGCATGCATTAAACATTTGCAGGACCTCACTTTCCTGTTGTTAGACATGTGTCACCAGTCTCCTTAAAGTACTTGTGAGGGTGCTCCCTCCTCAAATGAATTGATACATTGTGATTCCCTCCTAAGCTGGGCATTTCCCTAAAGAAGGATTCATCTTGCCTCAATTCTGCCAACCTACAGGATCCTTGAAATATCCCTTATAGTGACTCCAGGGTTTGTTTTGTCCTCTAGACACTATGTTCCTCCAATCGAATAAGGAACTTTACCTCAGTTGTACAGACTCATATTTGGAATGCCACTTTCAAGATAAGAGACTCTTCCCTGGTTTAGGAATGGGATTTGAGACAGGGTCCCACTATGCATTCTTAAGCAGATATAGAAGCAGAGTTCCATGAAAATGGCTTTAACCATCTTCCTGGCACCAACTCCAAGTGCCAACTCCCCTCCTATGTCAAGTATATAGGACATTCTGTCAAATAAAGCATGTGAAGAATATGCTTTTCTTCAAATATCTATACCATGATTTTTGTCATTGCCTCTTCATGGAAGGAAGGAGCTACTCATACCATGGGGTTATCCACAACAGCTCAGTAGCACTAACCCAGAGGATCCAGATGTTAAACTCAACCCTTGAGAAATTTTTATTTGTACTAGAGCTTTCTCAGAGGGAAGGAGCTTCTAAATAGTTCAACTGGGTTCAGTTCTTATTCAAAGCTGCTTGAATGAATCCACATTTTTCCTTTCTGTGAAACTCGTTCCCTTCTCTCATTAGGAATTCATATAATGATAGTGCACATAAGCAAGATGCACAAAACAAGCATAGTATTAAATATGGCTTCTTCATTGCTAATGAGAGATATCCCCATGAATACTTGTTTTTGATGCTAAATTGCTCTTTCCCAAAGACAAATTGTCTCTCCTCTGACAGAAAAGGAAATTAAAATATAGTAAAAGATTCTTAAACTGTGAAAGTACATTCAAAGCAAGAGCCAATCCATAAGGAAAAGTGAGTTTCAAAGAGGTAATACAATTCTACTCAAATGACTAGGCAATTTCCCCCATTACAGAAAACTGGGTGAAACTATGAGACATGGCTATCAGGTTACAATGCTCTACCTGTAAGGACGTGATGCTTACAATTTCCATCTGGACAGAAAGAAAGCTGTTTCTGTTGACAGGTCAGGGAAATATCACCATTGGGATTCATTAAAATTAAAAGGTCTGTCGATATTGGATTACTCCTTATTCTTAAATTCTTTTGCCCCACTTTTTAACAATGAAAAGTATGAACAGTACTGAATAGAGTCAAACAATTAACTCTATCCAACTGACCCTCACTATCAAATACTGAAACTAAGGAAGCATGCAGTGCCTCATTAAGCTTTGAACTGTAAAAGTAATGTGCACAGAACATGGCTTGATTACCATGATACAGCCTATGCTGCATCTACTAAATAGCCTTCTTTGAAGCAGGGAGGAGAAATCCACGTGAGAGAGATGAAGCGTCCACGGAATCACAATGCACAAGGAGTGGAGTCACAAGGGATAAAATTACATAGGTTGTGAAGTCCACCGGATGCAAAAGGAAGGAGGAAAGCTCCCCATGCAAAATGAATGGAGGAAAAAAAATTTTTTTGCTCTTCCCTCTCTTCTCTACTGACAGAAAGACAACTGGACTCCAGCCAAGCCTGAGTTCTTGGCAAGTGCCACTCATAAGGTGACATAAGCAATGCAGATTGGCACCTAGTGCATCCAGCTTCCACCTATAAATCTTGTGATGGAATGAAAACAAACTTCTATTATTTGCTTAGCATTCGCTTTGCACCTGCTTTCATTATTCTATCTTGGGATCTGCAATAACTTTTCATGTCCTTACTCCTCATTCAGTACAATAATTGCTTTCACGGCTGTGGTTTCAAGGGCATCTCAGATGAGAGAGAAGTGTCTTTGAGAGAATGGCATAGGGTCCTTGCAAGGTGAAAGGCTGGATTTCTTACTCATAGTCAGTGCTATTTCTGATATTCTATGAATTAATAACACTAGTTAAACACAAAAATGGGCCATTTATGCTTACTAGATGTAAGATGTTGCATACCAACAATGGTCTGTTTTTCAAAAAGCTAAGCTGTTGAGGAGTATAGACTAAAAGATCTTTGAATGCAGTACATAGCTTGAAAAAAAGGATGAGAGATGGTCTCTCTCCTTGTCTGTGGAGGAGATAAATTGAGAATTTCTTAATATGAGGTTATCACAATGTGGTAAAACATTTATTTAATTTAAATAGGAGGAAGGGATCAGGAAGACATTTGGCTAAGAAGGTGAAGACCCATCAGGTCTTCCAGAAAGCATGAGAAGCCGAATGCGTTCGGTAGTGGCAGTTTTCTTCTCTTGGAGAGATTTGATGCATTTGCGAAGCTCCTGTGAGGGGCATGCAAACAGGCAGATTCAGAATAGCCAGTTCCCTCCCCAAGTATAGACAAACACAAAGAATAAAAAAAAAAGGAAGAGAGAGCAGAGAAGGTGACGAAAGGAGCAAGGCCTCACCGCTTCCCGAGCTGCTTGCTCCTCTGGAGGAAGTGAATGCAGGACTCGGAGCTGATGCTCTGCAGCCTGGATCTGTTGTCTCAGTCGAGCTACATCCTGTCAGCAAAATTTTAATCGTGACTGAGTTGAAAAGGAGACATTTTTGCATACAAATATTAATTTGTGATTTCATCCAGATGTAATGATTTCACTTTGTTTAAAAAATAATTGACAGAAACTATTGTTAAGCAGAGATTGACAGACCTCCTTGTATTGGTCAATCTGAGAAATACAAGACAGGAGTTCATCTATCTCTGCCTTCAAAGTTTTGAAGAAGTCATCAAGTTCATCTTGAAGATGTGTAACTTCAGAATGGATGTCCTCCTCACTCCCAATCCCATCTTGGAAGTGGACCTTTGAATAAAAATGCTATAGTGAGAAGGGAGCAAACATGCTTCACAAGAGGAAAAGAGGGCAACAGATCATACAAGAAGTTTCTCTGTGGCCATGGTGAGTTTAGTCTTCTGAATGGGAACTTCAGTGACAATGGCCTCCAGGGACCTCAGCTGTTCATGGACTGGTGGCTTCCATCCACTCCCCATCCCAGCCTGCTTCGTTTTTTTCAACCATAGCCTCACTTCTTCCAACTTTCCAGTGTATTGCTGCCATTCTTCACACAGTTCACCCAACATTGCATGCTGGGAGGAAATCAAAATATTCATGACTTATGATTTAAAAGGCAATTCTGCAATCACTAGCAAAATTGTTATCTTTAGCTAGGCTAACTATGAATACAATGATATAGGAATAAGGTAACCGAATTTCCAACTATAATATTCTGATGCAGTTTGATGAGCCCAGGAAGAGGAAAATAATTCATATATGCAGTATTTTTGAGGAAGATATGCAATGCTACAGAAGCCTTGCACCAATCACAAAACTTACTTCATTTTTATTTCACAATCCTAATATTTCCACCAATAATGTTGCAATTGCTGCAAAGATGTGCTTACCCTCTCAGAGATGGCCTTATGGATCTCAGCTTTTCGAGACTCCAAGGCAGTGAGTGCTTCAGACAGTGGTCTTGAACTGAAAGCTGCTTGACCCACTCGATTTACTTCCCGACTCATCTCTTGAAATTGCTTGCTCACTGACTTGCTATCTCTTAATCTCAGCTAGAAGGGAAACAGCAACACTGAGACGAAGCCCCACAGACAATGCAGTACCAGTTAGTTAATCCATTACCGAATACTCAAGGAGTTTGGCACGAGCCTCTTCAAGGCTCTTGACATGCAGTGGAATCTTCAGGAACTCCTCTTGCTTCTTCAACCACTCTTCAACATAATTGCGAAGATCCATGAATCTCTGCCACCACTCCAAGCACTCCCCAAGCTGAATATTTTAAAAATGATTTCTCTGTGTCATAGATAATCCCTTAGATATTACCTTGCAAGTTGCATGCATGGTGCAAAAGGGGAAAAAGTCTAATCTCTTGGAGAACATGGTTAATGAAGCTGCAAGCAATTCATTATCATCTTCAAGAGGAACTCACAAGGGAATGTTGTTCTGCAATGAGGTTCTTGACTCGGGAAACCAGGTGATTGAGTTCGGTGACCTTATTCTCCACGTCACTTGCAACATCAGGGTTTTGGCATTTCTTCTTCAAGATCTCTCCAAGGCCATGTACTTCTTCAACACTGTCTGCTTTCTTTCTCAGCTCAGATTCAATCTCCTACAGTGGATGGACAAGCAGGATTAAGATCTGATGACATATGCATTTGCAGCAAGTCAGTTTTACTCAAACCCTACATGAAGTGTATCCTTGAAAGCAACAGGATCCTTAGAGCGATCCTTGAGTGTATTTTCTGCATTGAGGAAGAACTTCTCCAGCTCTTCAATGCCTTTATGAAACCTGTTTCTAACATTCCCTGCCTTCTCAGCCTCTCTCTGCATATCATCAATCCTCTGCATGAGATTCTCAGCCTGGACTTCTAAACCTGAAACCTGAGACAAAGAGAAGTTTCAAGGGTTATGATTTCTGCATGGAATTTGATCAGCAGAGAATGTATTTTTTCCAATAGTTTGCCTCTCTAGTGATTTCTACTGGGATTTGCATCTGAGATTCTGGGAATTCTTCCTGTGTTTTCCCTATGAAGTTCTTGATACTTCCTTGCAGTACGCTGGCAGTTTCTTTCAATTTCTGCAAAGAGAAAACAATGGGAATTCAGTCTTCCAGAGATGGAGATTACAAACAATCAATACTGTTTTAAATGCATTATGAAACTGACTGAAATCTGGCTACAGATAGCTTCTGTATCTGGGTCATATGGATCAACAGCATCAAGTGCCTTGCTATGATTCCCCAGCTCTCCATGCAGATGATCCAATTTTTCCCTGAGACAGGACAGGAACTCCTTCTTCTTTTCAAGCATGGCAAGTTTTGCTTCAACATCTGACTTCAACCTGCAAATTGCACAACATTATTCAACACATTCTATTATGCCTTTGCCACAAGAGATTGGAAAACAGGGAACGGATGGAAACTCACTGAGCATGAGTGTCCCGCAATTTGCAGAGCTGCAAAGTCAATTCCTGGGCAAGGACAGGTGCAAGTTCCTGAAGACGATCAAGGACAGATTCTAGGCAGTTTCCCATCTTGCACAGATTCTCACCTTCCCTCTCCAAGTCCTTTGACATACCCTTGATGAGGATTTTAGGAGAATTAGGAGAAATGAAAATTCCTGTACTAAACTGATTGACAGTACAGGCAAGTGACTTTGACCTACCTGCAGATTGAGCACTGGGTCCTGCTGCCTGCGAACATCAGCGTGAACCTCAAAGGCTGAGATGCGAGATTTCACATCTTCCAACATTCGAGTGGTATGCTTCTCCTTACTGAAGAAATCTTCAAGCTTGTCTCTCAGGCTCCTGAATTCAGTGAGTGCAACACATAGTTCCTGTTTTGCATCTTCCCAGTTGCAATTCAAGGTTCCCACTTGGGTTGAAAGCCACTTCTCCATCTCAGCCGTAGATCGAACCATCAATCGATGTGCTTTCTCATTCACAGTCCTCATAAGTTCCTCATTCTCCTGTAAATGAACATTTACATTGAAGCCTTCTCGCCTAGAGAAAGGGAAGTGGAAGCATTGGGTAGAGGCTGACCTGGATGATACCCTGTTGTCCCTCCATCTTCTCTTGAATACCTTTTAGCTGTGAGAATGTCTCAGGGGCATCCCAGTTCACCTTCATTGCATCCAGCACTTCCTGAGCCTTCTGGAAATGATTGAGGAAGTCTCTCCACTCAACCGCAGCCCTCTCCAGCCTCCCTTGAGAGTTGCGGGCCTGATTCATCAGATTCTGGTATTCTTGATAAAGGTCTTGAACCTAATAGGGAAATTATAAATCCAAATGCTCGATCATTTCCTCAGGCAAGAGCGATGCAACGGAGCAGAAGTCTTCTTTACCCGAGACATCATTTCCTGCTGATGGTTATTCTCAAGACAGGGAGAGATCTTGTCGGCAAGATGGAATAGCCGTGCCACGCTTTCCTTCTCCTGCTCACTCCCAAAATATGCCTTTAAAATGAAGAAGGCAATAGCAGTGTCACAAAAAATCTCTAAAAACCTCAGTTCAGATCATACAATGACTTCCTCAATGAAGGCACTACCTGGTGAGTCTCAAGAAGCTCAGGAACCTGTCGATAATCCAGCTTGTCCTCATATACAGCCAATTTCTCCTTGGACCTACTGTTCCAGGCAGAGAGTTTCCCAAACAGGGCCTGAAACTCCATGTATATCTGCCTCAGGGAATCTAAATACTTTTTACGCTCATTGAGCTCTGGTGGCAGAATAGTTGCATAGAGGGAGACTTGGCTCAGTTTCTCATCCAAGTAAAGAGTAAGACTTTTCTTCTCTTCCTCTGTAATCAAACCATTCTCAATTGCCTGCTTCACTTTCACTTCCAATCCCTGTGAATAAATATAAAGGATGCTTTGAAGCTGCAGCAGTCATGATCCACTACAAACATTTTAATAAGAGTCACCTCATGTTCAATAGCCAGGGCCTCCCAAGCTTCAGGTTCCAGAGAGACCATTGGTCGGGAGAAGATTTTCCCTTCCAGATCCCTCATTTCGTCCAAAACTTGATCAAGCCTCTCAGCCAATCGCACTTGATCTCCTTGAACCTGTCGGTACTCATGAAGCTTGCCCTCAATCGTCTTGCGTAATGCACCCAAATCCTGCTTCACTCCACTGATTTCACTAGCTACAACATTGCAGTCAGCTGGGCTGCCCTGGGCACTGATTTGTGCCCCCTTGTCTTCAGCTGCAGCTAGAAGCCCCTCCCCTTCCACAAGTCGGTCAAGTATCTACGCAAATCAAGTATTGTAATGTGAACCTTGTCAGATGTCAAAATCTCACATAGAATGATTTCATCTAGCATGAGAAATCCTTACCTCTTGATACTTTTGTATTCTTGCTTCCAGATCAGTTTGAAGACCATCAACCTCACTGATGTTCTCTCTTTGACGAGAAATGAAGGCAGCAACATCATTGATGAGTCCCATGAATTGCTCCCTCATGATCACCAGCTGCCTCAGCTTCCCCATTTGCTTCTCAATATCAGCTACAAGTTCTTCACTTTCCTTGAAGAGTTTCTCCAGTTCATTTCCAACAACATCGCCATCAAGCTGATCTAGTTTCTCATGGAGAGTCCGGATCTCGCCCAGTGCATTCTATAAAAAATGAACTTGTGCTGCATATTCTAAAGGGTGAGAGCAAGACTGGTGTATCCCTTGCAGCTCTAGCAGTTCAAAATCAATTAAAACAATCAGACAATCACAGCAATGCAAGGTAGCCTTGGACAGTTTGCCATGAGGATGACAGCTGCAATAGTGTCCAAAACCCATGATTCCTGTATTTAGGATTACCTGTACCAACAGACACTATTCTAAAGTGGAAATCATAATTACAGTGACTGCCTTCTTTTTTCAGATACCTCCAAAAAAAAAAGGAGATTCAAGAAATTCCATCATAATATATGATAGAATGCTGAATGCTAATTCATATGAACATCTGAATATCACATGCGTACTGCTTGTTGGAACATTGTACCTCACTTCCACAGATTCAGAAAAATCTATGAAAGAAACTTCGCTGTGACTCACATTCTGACAGTGTATTCTCAATCACAATTGTTGGATTTAACTTTTGAAAATAAAGACCTTCATTTGAGGAATGGGAATACTCTCTCTCGTTTTTGTATAAAAAAAAAGGGTCAAATTATAAATAAGATGAACAGAATGGTTTCAGTGCTAACCTGGTATCCCTGGAGGACCTCCTGAGCATCTTCAGAGGTCCACCCCACTGGACGACTCAGGGCAGTCACCCGTCTTTTGAGCGCTGCCAATTCCCGGCTGGACTCCTCCAGTTGCCGAGTCACATCTTGCTGATTTGCCATCTGCTGCCTAATCTGGTTTACCTTATTGGAGATCTCTTGAGCCAGCTCTTCATAGGAGCTCTTGAGACGAGCTAGGCTGTCTTCCAGTGCAACCTTCTCCATGGGAGATAACTCAGGTTCCAGGTCCTTCCCTTTTGCAATCACCTCCTCAATTTGCTTCCCCATCTCAGATGATTCTTCCTCCAATTTCATGTTCTACAAGACATGGTAGAAAGCATTTCACATAAAGAGTAAACTCGATACCATAAAGCTAGACATAAAAGCCATTACCCTGATGTTTAATTATGTGATCCTACAGGATAAGAGCTTTTACAGCTAGGTTTCCCTACTGCCATTGGGACATAGGCCCACAGTGAATTCCAAGATTCTAGGAAAATCTTTTACCATATGTATACTTCACAACTATCAACCAGTTCTCTATCCTTTAATTCTTTCTTTGGTTTAGCACTTTTTTGGCACTATATATTAATATATGCTGCAATTCATTTCAAATTTAAAAACTCTGTACAGTACAAACTCTGTACATAGTGAAGACTTCAAAGAAAGTGTTCTGCCCCATGAAGATTTGGAATTTCTGAGAGCACTATTTTTCTGTCACCTGAAGCTATTCTCACAATAAAGCTACAAAGAATTTGGAGGAAAAGACAAGCTCAAAAGAGTTTTGGTTGAGATGTGCAATTTCAAGGTAGTCCCAAGGGGGCAGTAGTATTCTTCAGGATTTCCATTCAAGTGCCAACTATGGATAATGCAAGAGACAAACCAAGGGATACTTGATAGATTCACATGACTTTGATAGAGGCAAGGTCATAGCCTGCTTGCTTTTTCCAAGGTAAATTATTTTTTGCTCAAGTGTGTATTGATGCTAAGTGCAAATGCATATTAATGACCAGGGTATGGCATATGAATAAACAACTGAAAAGAGCCAGAAAACGGTTGCTGTTTCCTTCACTCATGCACATAGCAGAAACCATAGCAATATTGTTGCATTCCCATAATCCTGCATGATCTCTGTAAGTCTCAGGGAAAGTAAAGTACTTTGAGCATATAATCACATCTTTTTGTGCCACAAGATCTCAATAATTTTCTCCCAGCATTTATACAATGAACACCTGCAAAATATTGGAGTTCGAAATTGCGATAGTTAAAGCACGAAATAGCTCACCTTCTTGAGAAGTTCCTGTAAGAGATCTACATGGCATTTTCTCCTTTCTCCTCCAATGGCCACCTTCGCCTCTTTCATCCACAGGATGCAAGTTTCCATCTCCTCTTCAAATTTCTTCCTGGCCTCAAAGGCCTTGCCAAGATTTCCTTGTCTATCAGCAATGGAGGTCTTGAGTCTCTTCAGGGATTCCCACAGGTCTACAGACAGTCATTAATTGTATTAAAGTTATTTTTGTTTTAAATTACTTATGCAGTATTTATATCATGTTTTATTTCCAAATCATTTTCATCAATAATTGTTAGTCAAAATATATATTTGGAAATTTATGGAAAACTTTTTTGTTTTTACATGCCTCAAGATTTTGGAATCATCAGAAAGTTTGATCATCAAATCAGTCAAACCATTTGGGAAAGTATAGTTATTTAGTGTCTCCTTGAGGTTAGATTGCTTGGGATGAGATCAACTTTAAAATTATATTGACACCAGAATGAAACTTCTATCTTCATTAGGAGGAAAGTTATTGCTGAAACACTTCCACAGTTCAAGTCTGGGTTTTTATTGATTACCCAAGGATGGGTAACAATTAAAGTAAAAAATTGAGATAAAGATATCAATAAATTATAATGAAAAAATTATTGAAGTTAATTCTGCTACATCTCTGTCAATTTTAATCAAAATTGAACATACACAAGCTCTCCATCTAGCTGACCATTCCACCATATGTTGGTGGAATGATTCACATGCCATTCTGGACCACCTAAACTGTAGGTAATCCCAAACTAATTCCCTATTAAAACCCTACTAATGGGAGTATTTCCAAGACTTTACTCAGGGGCATGAGTATTTTACAGCCTAGTAAAATAGGTGCTGTCAAGCTTTACAGTGTTCACTACAAAACGAAGGCACAATTTTCTACCATCCCAATTTTGGGATACTAGTAGATACTGGATACTGGATCACTTCATCAATTTTTCATACCTTTCTCACGTAATTGGGCAGACTCTCGCTCTTCAGGGGAGCACTTCTCTTTTATTGGGTCTCCAATCTGCCTGATCTCATTCATCTGCCTTCCTTCAAATTTCTCCACCTCATCTCCCAGTGCCTGTAAGCAGAAAACTTTCAATCTTGTAAAAGTATTGAATGAATGGAGTGAAAATCCCCTTTCATCAGTCAGACTCAAACCTTGATGTCTTGCAGTAACCCATTCACATCATCAGCCTTGAGTGGGAGAGGGAGCAGTTCACCCAGCATTCCTTGTTTCCCAATAATCCATGCCCCAGCATCCTTCAGTTCTTCTTCCAATCTATACATGAGACATGAAGAGAGAAGAGATATGAAGCCTATGTGATGCTCCCAAATAGTTTTACACAAAAAAGCAAACATGGGAACAAGGGCAGAAACCTTTTCCTCTGCTCTAATGCATCATTCAGGTTTGACAGTCTCTCCATGACAGCATTAATGAGTTTTGCATGAAGCCCTTCGATTCCTTGAATTTCCAAATGCAAAGCATCTCGTTCAGACTTGGACAGCTCAGCCAGAGACTTTTCATATTTGGATTCAATATCTTCCAGTCCGAGAACAGCTCGTTCAGCTTCCTTTTCCAGGCTCTAGGTACACCAAAGCATATCTTATGAATGTAGGGTCTTTTGCTTTGCATGCTGATATTTTACACTTTCTTTACCTGGAGGCCTGTGATAAGGTCTTGGACTTGCAAGCTGAGAAATGGAAGAGATGAATCCTCATCCAAGCTGGCTGTTTTCTCAGTCATCCAATCCTTGACATGCTGCACTACTCCAATGGCCTCTTGGTATGCCTTCCAAGTCATTTCCAGGATCTGCCGCCTTCGTGAGAGACGTTTGAAGGCCTCACTCAGCAGGGCTTCACTTCGATGGACTCCCTCCTGCAATTCTCCCTGATCTTCGTTGCTGATTTCCATCATCAAACTGGCACCAACCCCTTTCAGTCGATCCAAGGCCTCTTTTTCTCGCTTCAGGAGTTCCTCTGCTTTCTGCTCGAGAATGTAAGCCACAGACACATATTAATGATTGAAGATGGAAATAATAGCACCCCATAAAGGCACGAAACCCACATTTATGCTCTCTATTCGAGCTTGCCAGGGCATATCACCAGTTTCCTCAGCCTCAACAAGTGAGTCAGAAATCTTCTGAAAAGAGGCACTCCAATTCTTCAAATCTCGTTGGTACTGAAGATACTGATCTTGCACTCTCTTCCGATTGGCTTCAATATCCAACACCTGCAATTAGAAATATATCACTTTAACAAGGACACCAATTTATAAATAAAAAACAATGATTGCAAGTAAAGACCATGCCTGGCTCTCAAGCTCCTCAAGAGGTGTTTGAAGATCCACCATATCCTCAGCCAATCCAAGCTGCAGGAGACCATCTTCAACTCGTGTGGCCTCTTCCATCTTGATTCCTAGCTCCCTTTTCAGGTCATCAAAGAACCTCTGGGCTTCCTCAATGTGATCAGGTCTGATGCGGATCGGCTTTGCCGTCCAGTCAGACAGAACTGCCCTCTTGTCCTCAATCCACTCTAGGAGTTCATCCCTGAGCCTCCTCAGAGCTTCAACTTGTCCTATGGCAGCCTGCTCCTTGGCCACCAGAATCTGGAGCTGGTGGAACATGAGAACCATATAGTATAGTATGGTATAGTGTCAAACAATTTTCCCTATTTTTTGGCCACCCTGGGATTAAGCTTACCTCATCCCTGAGTGCCTCCATTTTAGCTCTGAGGGCAAGCTCTTTCTCAGGCAAGGGTGAAGAAAAAGGTTCCCTTGGACTGCTTGGACGACTGATGGATGCTGTAGCTGATTCGCATGCTTGCACAGCATCTTCCAATTTCCTCTTCTCATCCTCCAAGCTTCCTTGTAATTCCTAAAGGGAACATATCACATAATAAAAATCTCCAGCAGAAAAACTAACACTGCTTGTCATTCATCTGGTTTTCATCCTCACCCTGAGATGAGTCATGCGAGAGACCCTGGCATGGAAATCCTGTGGAACGGCAAGGCCAATCGAAGACACTTCTTTTTCCAATTCATTCAACCTACTTAAAATGGCTTCAACAGCCACCTCATACTCAATGAATCTTTGATTTGTATCCTGAAGTCGTGCCTGAAAGACAAAAAATTAAATTACTTCCCTCCATTTAAACTTCTTCTCTAAATAAAACTCTGTTGGAAACAAACCATTATTTGGTGACCAGTTTGAAGTAGAGAGTCATAGCTGTCTTGTATATTGGATACTTGTGCATTGATGGTGTCCTCCATGTGTGGGTACCTCTTGATTTGTGTGTCACCCTTATTGCTAAGGGATTCCAATGTGGCTTGAAATTTCTCCATGTCATCCAATAACTCCTGGACATGACCCAACAGACAGAATTATAAGGTGAAACTGCTCTTCTTGATTTTGAAGTTAGAGGAAGATGTAAAAAATATACCTGGTGATCATGAATGAGATCCTCGACTTGACTGTGTGAGGAGACATACAAGGAATTGTGGGCCATGAGTCTAAAAGATGTTTGCAGGATCCATTTCTCAGCATTTTGAAGAGCTTCATGGAAGTCATTATACTCCTATATAGGGGAGGAATGAATAATAAAAAAAAGAGGACACATTGATGAAATGGTCAAGGGGCTGCAGCATGGTTAAAATAAACATATACTATGAAAAACCTACAGATGTAAAAGTAGAAAAAGGAGAAAGAGATTTTGGCTCTTGGAGCAATCTTCAGAGATAAATTAAAAACAGCTTGAGGATTATGAGAATACAAGGGAGAGCAGAGAAGCAAAATATCAGGGACACTAATTCAAAATGAGGACTTGAAGTGCTTTGCAAGTGACAATGAGAGTCAAACTGGGTGTGGTGACAGCCTTGAATATGAAGGTTACAGAAGTCATGGCCAGGAGGGCTGAAATGGCTAGGGACTGGGTCATCAAACACACCCCTCTTGACTCATGTCATCACTTGAAAGAGAGACATTTGAAAATCAAAATTGGAAACTGTGTCCCATCTGCTTGCTTCCTTGGCCTTGATGGTCTTCTCACTGTCTTTCTCTTACCCTTCTCTTATGTTAATTCTCAAGGCAAAGTGCTTCCTCATTTTACCATTTGGGTATTAGGCTGTTATGATTATGCCTTCAATCCTTTTGCATGTCAAAAATCCTAATAATGTTAGCTTAATAATAATTACTCATTCAACAAAAAAAAATTATTCCTCAATTTTCCTTTAATTACATAATTATCAATGCTGGATAAATATTATAGGACAAAAACTAACCTGAAGATGCTCCTTGGCTTCATTTAAGGCTTCTTTGCACTTGGAGGATAAATCATTCAAATCAGCATTCAGAGTCTGAATCTTCTCCTTTGCACTAGAATCAGGGAGTGATTCACTAGTTTCCTCAAGAGTTTGGAGTTGATTCCTCTTCTCCTCTAAGTCCTCATCCAGGGCCTGGAAGAATCCAATGAATGAACAGTATTTCAGATTGTCCAGGGGGAACATTCAACCATCTGCTTGTTACCCAGAACAAAAACAGACTGAATACAGTTCAAGAAGCTCTGAGATCCAACCTTTAGGTTTTCCACTACAAGACGAATAGAAGTTTCAGACCCTCCCCTCCCCCTTTCAGCCAATTTCTCCTTTGTTTCATCCAGCCATTTCTTGCATTGTTCAATTGCATCTGATAATTCCTTCCTCTTTCTCAGTTGATTCTGGAAGAAATATAAATATCATGACATTAAATAGGACTATTCACATCCTTCACACAAAGGCAAATGCTATTTATACCTGGCTAGACTGTAGAGCTGATGTAACATCTCTCTTCAAGGCCTCATATGTCTCTCGAGATATGCGAATGTTCTCTTTCATGTCTGACTCAGTGGCCTCATTAGTGAATGGCAAGGCACTCGTGTATGCTTCCATGAGCACCCGCAGAAGGTGCTGTCCTTCGGACAACCGCTTGGATAACACCTGAATGCAAATCAATGGATGATTGAAGTCAGCATTATATTGACAAAGAAGCAGAGAGTGAATAAGCTCATAGTGGCACTTCATACTGACCTCTAGTGTTAGGAGGGAGTCCTGAAGAGTTTCAAGTGAGGGAGACTGGCAAATGGCAGACTCAAGGGTGCCTCTTGCTCTCTCCAACCACTGATCTAGTTCCTTCTTGGCTTCATTGTACTGGCTCATTCCAGCTTGAGTTTTCTCAGTCTTTGCGACTAAATCCTATAAAGATATTCAACAGTCCGATTGAATAACTTTAATGCAGTTGCCAATAAAAAAAATGTCAGAAGAATGTCAGTTAAATTTACAAACTCCTACCTTGAGTGTTGCATTCAGTTGAGAATATAGGGTCTGAATGCTTGTCGTCTGGGATCGTATTTCACTCTGAGCACTGAGTTGGACCAGCTCCTCACACTTTTCACCTAGTGATTCCACCTTCCCTTGTCTCCCTTGTGCTTCAGTGAGCAGTTCCTGATGATGGAAAGACTAGTATGAATATCACTGATGAAAAAGGAAGAAGAATCTGCAGGGTACTCCTGTGAAGGCCTGTAACCAGGTCTTTCCTGGAGGAATGCATACAGTCAACTCTGACCTGAGCTCGAGGAAGTATAAAACTGTCAGAGTCAGGCAGAGTAGCCACATCAGATCGCAGCTTCTCCAACCAATCCTGGAGATTCTCAAGGAGAGCCATGTATTCATTCCATGCATTCAGGCAGTCCTTGAGCTTCTTCTCATCTTCTCTGCATCTGAGAACAACCTCTGACTTCTCTTGCTCCATAGCATTGAGTTCCTGCTCAGCTCCACTGTCAGGGCTCAATTTGCCACTCAATTCAGTTGCCCTGTTCAGCAAGTCCTCACCTGGAGGAGAGACAAACATATTCACACCTGGACAGCAAATTGTCATCTCAATTTTGATGGCACCTACTGTTTTTCTCATTTACCCATTTACTTGGATGATGACATAAATTATATCTTACCCTCTTGTAAAGATGCTTCAATCTCGTGGAAATAGCCAAGTTTCTCCTGGACTTTCTCCCTGCTGCCAGTTGTATCACTAACTTTTTCGAGGGATGTCTTCAAATTCTTCAGCCACTCTGCAACAGCTTCAGCTGCTCCAGTATATGCCTCATGGTGCTTCAACTCATCCTCCAAAGTCTGAGTTATTTTGAAAAATCACAAAATGAGTATAAGAGTGGGCGGAGAAACAATACCAAAGTATTACAGACCTGGATGTCAGTTTCCACCCTCTGCTGGAGCTTATGAAGCCTCTCAATGAGTTGAGCTGTCTCAGGCTCCTCCTCTGGGAGAGATTTTGTACGGCCTCCTTCCTCCTCTTCACTGGCCAATTCTTTGCCAAGTTTCTTCAGTCTTTCCAGCTCCATTCGCTTCACTCCAATATCAGTACCTGAGAACTTTTCACCTCCTTTGGCCTCCATTTCCTCAAGCCACTCTCGGAATCTCCTCATCACCTGCACATCACATTGTATTTATTGTGAACCCCACCTTTGAAGTCTGGAATAGTGCCCTTAACCCTGAAATATCAATGAATTCTACCTTGTTGATATCCTTGGCAGCATTGAGCTCTTCGGCCAGAGATCGCCGCAATGCTTGCATATCAATGAGAAGCTTTTCATATGCTTGCTTTATCCTGTCAGTGTCTTCCAAGATTTTTGTTACCCCTTCCTCAGTTGTGTGCACAATAACTCTCTCCTTCAGCTCCAGCAGGAATCTTCAAGAGGTTCACAACCATTCATAATCTCAATGTCATAACCTTTAGAACCCCAAGGTGCCAATATATTTGGCTCTGGTTTGTTGTGCTAATAATTAATATACCAATTTTTCAATAGGATTTATAATCATTCTTCAAATAACACTCTGCAATTTGGTATAAAACTAGCTTCGGAATTTACAACCGGAATTTATTACCTACTTAGGCTTGGGAATGAAAGGATTAATGTCAGTCTCTGTGATGAATATGCCTATGTAAATTGTTTACAGTTTATCCTTTAATGTTGATGTTACTGAAATCCTTAATTTTCATTTACATGCATTTTCTGATGGCATTATTTGCTTCACATCAACTTTAGGTTGATAACTTCCACAGTTATCATTCAGCAGGTGGATCAGACTGGAATGGATTCCAGTTTAAACATGAAAAAATGAAGTCAAAACCTCTGATTGACTTGGCCTACAACTAGGTAAAATACTCCCATAGAACTATTGTGAAATACAGAGGTAATGAGTAAGTGTTGTTTGATCTACTGTGGAATCACATAGCAACAGACAATATCTAACCTAAGTTTGCTATGTCCTTCCTCCAGGTCATCTTTGTGAGCATTGATAGCTTCAAGTTGTTTTTGTAGAACTGTGACATCCCTGGATTGTGGAGTGCAGCTTTCCACCTTCCCTCTCATCTTTTCCAGCCATTCCTCACATTCTCCCAGGACTGCTTGATGTTCCGAATGTTCCTGAAAGAGGGAACCAGATTGTGCCACTAATTGCACTCTGCTGCTATGATTTAACTGATCCCAAGCCAACTTACTTGATACTGAACTTCCAAGTGCCTCATGCATTCTTTGGCCATTGAAAGCACTGCATTGTACTTGGTTGTCAGCTGAGCAACAGTGTTAGATATCTTGCTGTCCATGCAGGAGTCTATAATACTCTGGGCTTCATGATTCAATTGATCCAAGTTCTTCTGCCATGTAAAGATGGATTCAAGCTCTCCCTAAATTGAAAGAAGACACAATATGAGACATGATGATAAAGTATCAAGAAAGGTAAACAAAAAAAAATAACACAAAAAACCTGGGATGTTACACAGTGAACAAACCTGGAATCTCTCTAGGTTAAGTTGCTTTTGCTCCAATGAACTCAGAGCTCTCTTGTATTCCTGAACTAGGGCTTCTGTCTTGGAAATCCAGGTACATGCTTCTCTGTAGTGTTCATCAAATTCCTCCCATTTGGCCAATCCACCCTCAAGCTTTGTTTTCACTATCTGCAGGTCACTCCTGCACAATTCCAGAATAGAAAGCATTCATTGATGCCGTGTATGAGATTTGAGAATTGACCTCAGTGATAGTGAGATAGGAAATGCAATACTGACACATAAGAGTCATATTCATCTTGGAGGATGGCAACTTCTTGCTCCAAAATTTCCTGGAATTCTTCTTCGGCTCCACTAGGTGTTTGTAGAGAGCCCTTTGCAATCTTCAGGACTCGATTCAGCTTCTCCTGTCCCTCAGCCTTCTGGGTTTCCAATGCCTGAATGAAAGAAATTGATGTGATCATCCATCTTTCAAAGATAACATCCAACCTGGCCAAAATGAATGAGGACCTTGAGCTCAACAATCTTGGTGCTGAGGGAATCTTTATCCCAGATTGGTTGCATGCACCTTCCAAGGGTATCCCGAACTGATTGCAGCCAATTCGAGAATACATTCACTGCCTCTGTGAACTCCTATAGGGAAAAATATATGGAATCAATGGATGAACAAAATGTGTATTCATTTATGAAAAACTGCAGCACTGACCTTCCCATATTGAACAGTTCTCTTCTGCTTCTCATAGAGGCATTGTGCCTCCTTCAAGAGATTTTCATACTTGGAGGAGATGTCTTGGAGATTCCCACCAGACATCTCTCCCTTGGTCTTGACAGACTCAATCATTGGTTCAAAGGTCACAATATTCTGGACAAAGCTCTGGCACCTCCTGAGAGAATTTTCCATTTCATCCACGCCTTGATTCTTCTTGCCCCGGGCAACTTCAGACATTTTGGCATGACTCATCTCCTGGAGCTTAGCCTGGTTACTTGACAACCATTCTTGGACTTGATTGAACGAAGCTGAGTAGTCGGCCCAGTGGAGAAGAGCTGTTTCTATGTTTACCTTGGCATCTCCGAGTGCTCGAATCACACGCTCCCATTCATGCTGGACCTGATTGCACAGTGACCAATATCAATTTCAGAAAGCAGGTTTCACTTAATTTTTTTTTTTAAAGAGGTTTAATGTTTCTCACCTCACTTAGCTGAGCATGAATAACATCCTTCCCATCTGACTTGGTAGTCCTAGCTGCCTTTTCCCCAAGATTCACTACTTCAAATATCAACTTCTGCCCTTCCTCTTGTCTCTTCATCACATCCTATCCAGAGATAGTCACCAATTAGTTTAATAAATTTTTCAAGCATTGGGCATGCAATAATTCCAAAACTCCAACTATTTTCTTTTTCAAAGCATACCTCAATTTTGGTTAACCTTGCTTCTAAATCCTCCTTGGACTTGGGAGTTCCCTTGGAAGACATATCCATGACTTGTCTGGCATGTTTGATCCATTTCCAAGCCTGAGAGAGGCGTTCATCAAATTGACGATGGTGCTCGTATGTTGCCTCAACCTTCTGCTTCACATCACGGGACAGGTTCACCTGGACCTTCATTGATATAGAAAACAGATGTTTGATACAATGAGAATATAAACATAGCTACTTGCAACAGCTATGGATCCCAAATAGTATGAATGATCATCAGTAAATTACCTGATAGCGTGACTTAAGGTGCCTCAGCTGACTGAGGATATATGAATCCAGATGAGATGCAAGAAGCTCAGCTGCATTTACACTCAAGTTTTCTATCTCATCCTTCTTGTCCTCCAAGTCTTTCAATCTTTCCTGGGAAATGAAAGATATTTGCAAGACACCAAAAAATAGGCAAATAATTTGACATAAGAGAGTGCTGAAAATCCAAGACATCAATTTTCATGAGTACTTACTTTGACTCTCTCCAACTGAACATGCTTCTCTTGTAATGAAGAAAGGAGAATAGTCTTATAGGCTTTCATGTCAGCATCCATCTGAAGCAGCCAGTCATTTAGGCGTTCATATTCTTCCTTGTATGTCCTCAGCTGTGTCAATATCCGCTCCAGGTGTTCCTTTTGCTCTCTTATTTCTGTAAATTAAGTCCATGCCATTCTTAAATTTTGAAATTGATGGAACTGATGCATACTCTTCTAGAATGTAAATCAATGCTTCCTACCTCTGAAGGTGGACAGGAATGCATTGTGAAGACCATCAAGATCTTTCTTAAGGACTTCCTGTCCAGAGGCAGAAGTGGAGTCTTTGACAAACTGAGCAAGATTTTGCATTTGCTCCACTTTCAGTCTCCCTTGCTCCTCTTTCCCCAAAACAGCCTATGAACAACAAATTGCAGGGAATAGAAACTGGCACAAAAAGCTGGATATAAAGGCGCCCTCACCAACTCCTTATGGCTCCAAGTAAGTTAAGAACAATCAGAAAGAGAGGTGAGAAAAGAGCAAAGAGCCAAAAGCTGAATCCAAGAAAAAGATTTGAGGCTGTTGAAGGCAGCAATAACAGAGATCTGAAGGAGTGCAAATAGAAAAAGAAGGAAGGACACAGCCTTCTCTGTTCTGAAGTCCCTTCATCAGGATAAGAACAGAGAGAAAAGAAAGATGTAAAGCATCATGAGAAATAGGACATGGGGAGAACATGATGAACACTGTTGACAGACAAATATGGGAGGAGAATATTTTCTTTTGCAGTTGAAATATTTTTCATTCCATCTGGTAGAAACTTCTCCAGTAATTTTTTGCAGAATATTTCTTGCATAATAGGTTCGATATCTTTGAGTTTTTGTGTCACAGAAGAAAAAGCTTGAAAATATTGGACCACTAACCTAGTGAGATTGCCACAGCTAACTGCTTAAAGACTTTTCACCCAGATGAAATTTATATAAAAACTGCTAAAGTAGAAAATGAAAGCAGGTAGCATGAAGTCTGCAAAAACCAATATTTTGGAGGAACAAACCTCAAGGGTGGAGATGGCAGACTCAATAGCCAGCTTGTCACCAAGTGATCGCTGTCGGAGAGAAGGGATTCGATCCTTACAGTGCTCAAGCCAAGAAAGGAAGTCATCTTCAGCCTCTTTTAGCTGCCGATGTCTCTGCAGCTCCTGCTCCCTCTTTACTCTATGGGTCTGCAAATACAGGACATTGGTGGTTTTAAACAAAATACATCCAGCCAATAGGTTAATCTTGGCATTGCCTACCTTGACACTTGAAGCAAGATTCTGAAATGTGTCCAAAAGGCTAATGGCCTGAGATGCAGCTTCAGCCATCTGACCAGCTCTGATCATTTCCTCTGCACTGCTCTTGAGTCGAGCAACTTCAAATTCTTCCCGATGAAGCTTCTCCTCCATGCCCTATCAGGGATATTGGAATCCTCACATTACCAACATTTGTTCATGCTGAAGCAAAAGCTGTTCACAATCAAATGCACTCACTCTTAACCGATCCACGAGGCTTTTCTTTTCTGAGAAGGAGCTTGGATACTGTGAAGACTCTTGTAGCAGGGCCTTCCCACTGCCCAATATTCGCTCCAGTTCTTTCAGGCTCTCCAAAAACTCAGTCCATGTTTGTGTGATATCTTCCAAATTGGCCTATAAATAATGTCACATTGCAATCTCTTAGTGAAGTTAATTAAATTTATTGGGGGATGATGTCAATGTCACATACTTTTGTTTCCTCCAGCTTTGAGGCCAATTGGGACCAAAGACCCTGAATTTTTTCAACAGTTCCATTAATTGGTTCATGACCTGCAGGAGCAGTGTTGGCCAGAACTTTCTGTGCAAGTTCACTCAACTCATGCACTTTCCCAAACCCTTCTTCCTTTCCCAGCATCAAGTCCTGAACAAAGCCAAAAACCTGGTATAAGCCACTCATCACAAACATGGATCATATTAAATGCATACAAAACCTCAACAGGTTTACCTGGATGATGGCATTCCGGGCCCCAAGCTGCGCTTCAGATGTCAGGGGTTCTCTTGAGGCAGTATCCAATTTCCCCTTCATCTCATTCAGCCAGTCCCCTACATCAGCTGATTTTGCAGCAAAATCTTGATGCATCCTCACTATCCCTTCCCATTCTCCAACACGATCCTGTGGGGTTCTTTTATTAGTGGCTGAATATATCTACAGGGTGGTCCACAAATTGTGCAACAATTTTATTTGACAATAATTGAAATTACATTATATTTACAAAAATGAAACTTAAACTAACTTGAAGAATAAAGATTTAAATTTAATTTTTACCTTTCATTTAATAAAAATATGCCTTTTTTACTTGCAGAAAATTATTTGATTAAGATGATCATCAATCCTGTTAAACTCTCTGTAACATAGCAAGCAAAGCATTGTTCATTGTTTCTGTTAATGTTTGCATGCTAGTCCCTCTGATGAATTGCAGGAAGCTTCTTGTCAACTCTCCTGCATTTCGAGGTCTACTTTGGGAAACTCTTATAATGCCCCCACAAAAATAAATCTGGGGCATTTACATCTGGTGACTACAGGGCAGGGAATTTCATAATTTTTTTAAAGAAGCCTTGGGCCGAAATTTTGGCCTGAGTCCCATTCTTGCCCGAACTTCGTAGAAGAAAAGACATTACATGGTTCCAACAAGATGGGGCAACATGTCATATTTCAAAAGACGTAATGGAATTAGTGCCACAACATTTTGGTCCAAGGCTTATTTAGAGGAATTGTGAAATTTCCTGGCCTGCACAAGCACCAGAATATACTGCCCCAGATTTCTTTTAGTGAGGACATTGTAAGAGTGATGTTTACCAAACTAGACCTCAAGATGCAGAAAAGTTAAGAAGCATTCTGCAGTTCATCAGAGGGATTAGCATACAAACACTAACAGAGGGCATGTCTTTTTCTCCAGCCGCTAGCAGCTGCTAGCAAAAAAGACACATTGGCTAGGCATGACCACATCATCGAATGACATCACTCTTGGGCAAGCAGCTGACAGCGGAACATAGCGAACTATGGGAGCGCTGAGCAGCTCAGCCTTAACATGACGTCATGGGATGCTGGAGACCTCAGCAGAGCTAGCAGAGCCGCTAGGAAAAAAGACGCGCCCAGAAACAATGAACAATGCTGTGACACATTACAGAGAGTGTTAACAATAATTTTCCAAAAGAAAAAAATAGGCATATTTGTACTAAATGAAAGGTAAAAATAAAATTTAAAACTTTATTCTTTTAGTTAGTTAAATTTTCACTGTTGTAAATATAGTGTAATTTCAATTATCAGCAAATAAAATTGTTGCACCATTTGTGGACCACCTTGTACATTACAAGGACATATAAGCAGGACAAAGACTCACCTGATATGCTGCAGAAAGGGTATGGTATTGATGAAGCAAAGCAGTCAATCCCAAGTCTTTGGATGCTGGGAGTTCCTTTGCAAGTTCATGTCCTTTGTCAGTTAGACTGTCAACCTCAAGTTCCTTCAGTCTAGCTTCACTCCAGAATTGCTAAAATGGTAATTACAGGATGAAACCATGCCCTGAAGACACAACTGGTATAAATGAAGGGCTGCAAGGAAAAGTGGTCTATCTGCAAAAAATGTCTGGAAAAAGGTATAGTTGGCTTAGTGCTCATAAGAACTTTTCCTTTCATTGAAAATGGCACACTTTGGGAATTATGTTAGAGACAAATGAGTCTATCAGTGCATACCACTATTCCTTACTTTTAAGAAGAGGTTCAGTGGAATATTCCATCTTTCCGTGTGGAAATAATTTTTTGCTTATAGACCATTTTTCCTTATGCCCTTCAAATAATAGGAATCAATACCTTTAGCTGATTGAGTTGCTTAATTTTGGCCTCGAGTGAGTCTTGAAGGTCAAGGGCATTCAAGGTTGCATGTAGCTCATTAATCCAAGCTGCCAATGAATTTTTCATCTCCTCAAATTTGTCCCATTGCTGGAGCTTTCTATGCAAGCTCTCCTTCATAGACCTGAAAGAACATGATACTTATTGAAGCTACTGCTATCATGGAGTTTGCTCATTCTCCATAACAGGAATATAAGAATCTTTAACCACATACTTAATGCTATCAACGAAAGCAACCCATTCTGCTTGACAAGAGTTCATCTGTGTTGCAATTTTCTTCTGACCCTCAGGATTACTGTTTGTCATAGCTGCCCTCCCAAGTACATCTACCTGCTTCACCCTCCTCTCCTCTTCGTCAAGCCTCCCTTCCAATGCCTGTAAGAGAAAAGCAGACAGGCTTCACCTACAAGGTCAAGGTCTTTTTATATTTTTTTTTCAAAAGTATACTGCACATTGTCTTCTCACAACTGTAGTCAGAGAAGAAATCAATTCTATAAGCAACATGCTTAAATAAATTCTGATGAAAGAATGCATAATTAAAAGGTTCTGATCTGAAACCCAAAATCTGATTCAAAATTTCAGATCCCATTCAAAAACCTCATATAACCATAACCTCAAACTGTACACATTCCTGTTTCAACACGTGAAGGAAAGATCCGGGTGCATAGAAACAGGTGGTTGACTTCCCACACCAGCTGCTGATAAAGAGTCCATAAGAAATAACTTCTCTTCACTTTTGTTCCATCAAGTTAATGCACAGCAGGAGAATGGAAAGTCTTCTGAGGTTTTCACTACTACTCTTGTTGGGTGAGATCCAAGTCAATGCCATTATCCAAAATTGTCCAACATCTCAATTAGCAATTCAATGGCAGTGCACTGTTTTTCCACCCTGTCAAAGGCTGGAGTGGGTTTGCCATACAAAGCACAGTGCAGGAGAATATCTACCAAGATATTGCCTGGTCTGTGGCAAAATGGGAGGCCATCAAAATGCTACCACGAAAACCTAAGGAGGAAATATGTTTTGGTATGATAATATAATTTGTATTTCTTCATGTATGAAGAGATAACATAATAAAAATATGCTTTTCCATCCCTGCAGAGAACTTGGGATGCTTCTCCAATGATGAGGGACCCATGAGTCACCTAGATCTCCTCCCACAAACACCAGAAGAAATTGGGACACAATTTATACTGGACCACAATGATCCCGAACCACCTGAAACCCTTGATCCTGATGCACTGCAGAACTCTGGATTTAGGCCAACTAAACCTACTAAGATCATTGTTCATGGTTTTGCTTCTGATCCAAACAAAGATTGGATTACAGAGCTACGACAAGGATTCCATGAGGTGAGGAAGCATAGCTATGCTGATTCAACTGTCAGGGAGTCTTGGGCAGTCATCACTCTCATGATTCATTTTGCTGTTCATTCTTCCCTACAAACCAGAATGGCGATTTCAATATCATCACAGTAGGTTGGACTGATGGAGCTTCGTCTCCGAACTACATTCAAGCAGCTGTGAATGCCCAAGTGGTAGGAAGACAGATTGCTAACTTCATAGCTGCAGCTGTTGCATTAGGAAGCAACATTGGTGACATTCATTTAGTTGGAGCTAGCCTGGGTGCTCATGTTAACAACTTTGTTGCTAATTGGCTACGTGATACACACAATGGACTGAAAATTGGTAGAATTACAGGTAAGCCCCTAACACCTAATTTGCTTCCCTTCATTTAAAGCATGGAATTGCAAGTTCATCCAATTTTTTTAGGATTGGATGCAGCTCGTCCATTCTTCAAAGATGATCCCTCATATGGTCTGGACACACACTTGGATGCAGGAGATGCAGAGTTTGTAGATGTAATACACTCAAATGCAGGACTACTCATTGCTGGATGCTTGGGCATCATTGAACCAATAGGAACAGTGGATTTTTATCCAAATGGAGGATCAGACCAGCCTGGATGTAACAACCTCTTCTTTGGGGCTTTAGAGGACTTTTTCAGTGAGACAACATATATTGGCACCATAGGAAAAATGCAATGTCAATTCCCAATTCCATGAGGCTAAAAATTACTATCTTTTCAATGTTTAGCTGGGGATGACAGCTACATATGCAATCACCACAGGGCAAATTATTTCTTCATTGAGTCCTTGAAAAGACCACAATGCACCTATACTGCTATACCATGCTCTGACTTGACTGACTTTGAAGATGACTTTGTCCATGGATTGGGTTCATGCTTCACTTGTGGAGAAGGGGGATGTGGTCAATTGGGAATCAATGCCCATGGACAATCTTCTCAATATCTCATCACACTTCATCCTGATCAGGAAGCAGGGCACTGTGGTATGTAAAGTCATGTTCTATCCCTTCTTATTGCATCATGAAAGCAGATACAATTTTCAAACTCTCATTCATAGGGTTCATGTGGCACTTGAGTATCAAATCCACAGAATTGCAAGAACTCAGCACCTACGGAGAGTTCAGAGTCACACTGCAATGGAGCACCGGCTATACTCTTGGACCTTTTAGCATCACAGAGTCTCAACTAGAGAAATCTCTTTTTATAAGAGATGATATAGGACACCTGTGAATTATTACATTTTTCTTTTATCCACAGAGAAGATGAGCTGATGGAAAAAGGACAGGCAAAGGGAAGAGTTGTCATTTCAGCATGGGACTCTGTTCCAGTGGAAGACCCAGCCACTGTCATACTAGAGTATGTGGCTTATGATGGGTGGATCTTTAATGGCAAAGACCACTGGCTTCTGGATACTCTCATTGTGAAGGCACAGGATGGCCGGAGGTATGTTCACCAGAAAAATATGTAGCTATTTATAGTACACTTATGTGTAATATGTATGATCAGTAGTAAGCAAGAGACTTTCTGTGCTTTTGCAGCTTCTACTTCTGTGAGAAGTACTTTGAGCTCTGGACTGAAGTGCCTCAACAAGTTGTGCTTTCTACAAGCCCATGTGACATGAATAAAAAATAAAGATATGAGCTGAATGCACCAGACAATTGACAGCTATTACTTGACATATGCACATCAGTCTGGCCCTGTTATCACACCAGTGGTGTCAAAACTCTGACCCTCAGCAATCTAAGCATTCATCCTGAAATACCTGGGTATGTAATTTTTGTGATGTAAAACCAGACATGTAAGACAAGTTCTTCTAATCAACCATTCACACAAGATCACATGCTTCCACAAAATTTTGCACCTCTTTGGTCAAGCAAAAGCAACAGAATGACATCTCTTATACAGGGGGAAGGTTATTGCAAAAGATCAGCATAGTTTTGCAAAAAATTGACAAGAAATTAACAAAAGACCAAGAACCCACCAAGAACTGGAATGAATGGAAAATCTGATTTTCCAAAATTCCATTTTCTGTGCATCTCATACATTTTGGGCACCTGAACCCACCTAATGGGTCTGGATAATATTCATCAAACAGGTACCTGGATATCAATTGTCAACCAACACACTCAATATTAGGAGTATTTGCATATTTCTCCATCATTTAGTCCTTGAAGTTACCAATAGAGTAAGACTTGAATTTAAAATCTTGGGAAGCACATAGGGCATACTTTAACAGGTATATCTGCATGTCTGTCACTTGCTGCATGGGTAATACTCTGTTCTTGAATATTTACAATGTCAGAAAAAAGAACTGATAGATGTCCCACCTGTATAGTCTGAAGGTGGGATTGAATAGAGATTCTGTCAGCAGGAGATTCAGCCATGCAATGGAGAGATTGGTTCCCAGCTTCAATCCATTCAAGGGTTTCCAACACTGCCATGCTGTACTTGCTGTGATCCCTCACAATCCCCTCATATTCATCCACAAAAGCCTTGAAATAAAATTTTCATTATATGTTTTTGTATCAATTAGAGGTAGCAAGTGATCATAATGCCTTCAGTCACATTCTTGTTACTGTTATGATGCAAACTCCTCTCTTTCACTAAGTGCCTGAACACTGCACAATCTGTAGTTTTTTCATTCTGAATATGAAGTATTCCTGAAGCAAGATATCAAAGAAAGTAAATTGTTCACCTGAGCCTTCTGAAGGAGTTCCTGATGTGAGTTAGAGATACTGGTTAATATCTGAGTTGCATCTTCATTGGGAGCTGGGAGTGCAGAGACTCTTTCCTTTAATTCAATCACCAGCTGTTGAGCATTCACCAGTTCCTGGAGCTGGGTCCTGAAAAATGTTAATTGATTCCTTTCATCATCAAATTTGATATACAGCTACTTTCTTTGGTATCCTGAGGCATCATTGTGACTGTTGAAGTGCTGTACAGACAATATGAATCTAAGTAGGGTTTGGAATCTTGATCGATGCCCACAGGTATATATTTTAGCAGGGCATGGTGCAATCTCTGCTCCAATATATTTAGATAACATGTATAAAATGATGTAAGACTAAGACATATTCCATGGATTTCCGAGGCACTTGTGATCTTCATGCATGTCTTCTATACTTCTTTTTTTCAGTAGGCCTCTTAGAATTTTTTGTGAACAATGCTCCATAATAAAACTGCCTGAGGCACTTGAGTCATCATCATAACACAGACATAAGGTAATACTTTCAATTCTGTTACTTTGTCTCCCATTTGGATAAGGCTTTGAGAAATGCTGAGCATTCAGTATATTAAACTCCAGCAACCATGCAATTTGTCTTTGCAAGGGAATTTCAGTTATCAGAAAATAAAAGTTAAAAGCATTATGCTGCATTATGCCCCTAGCAATGTGCAAATATTTATATTTGCACATTGCTAGGGGGAGGGAGGGAATTGTAAATATTTATATTTGCACATTGCTAGGGGGAGGGAGGGAGTTGCAAATATTTATATTTTGCAGTGAAACATCTCACATATTAAACACCTCAACTTAGTTGAGAAGAATGGTACAAGCATGCATAGAAGTAAAAAGCCTGTCAAGATGCACAATAAAGTATGCATTCTGGATAGGTACCCTTTCCTATCAAATGCACTACAGGGTGTCACAAAAGTTTATGCAATTTTTTTTTAAGTTTTTAAAGAAAAAAAACATTTTGCCAAAATTTCACAAATATACCATTTCATAGTGTGCATAAAGCAACATAAAGTTGCTCTTTCCTCTGAGTACAAAATATTTTAAGTAATGACCGCCTTTTGGGTTTTTTAAGAATCAAACTGAAAAAAGAAGCCATCAAGTGTTTGCACGACTCGGAAACATGAATTGCCAAGATTTCTCAACAACTGAATGTGCTGGATTTGACCATCAGGAAAGCAATAAAGCACTACAAGGAGCTCAGTACATCATCTGATTGCCCTCGCAGTGGACAACACCCTTGCACTGTGACTGATGCTGCTCATCGAAAAAATGTCCGTCAATGGTTCGAGTTCACAAGAAAACAACCACTTGCACTGATCGAGTCTTGTCACCTTCATTGCCTTAGTCAAAAAGTTTCACCTTTTGCTGCCTGTAAGCCTTGAGTCCAAGGTTGTTCTTGATGATCCTCCGCACCGACTCATGCAAAAATCCCCACCTCTTGGCTGATCTTCCTCAGCGAACAGCACAGATTCCTCTCGCAACATTGATGGACCTTTTTTCGATTATCAGCGTCAATCGCAGGGCAAGGGTGTCCATTGTGAGGGTGATCAGACAATGTACTGAGCTCCTTGTAGCACTTTATCGCTTTCCTGATGGTCAAATCCAACACATCCAGTCATCGAGAAATCTCGGCAATTTGCATTCCTGAGTCGTGCTAACACGACTTCTTCTTCAACTAGCTTCTCTTTAAGATTCCATTCTTAAAAAATCCAAAAGGTGGTTATTACTTAAAGGTTATTACTAAAGGATCTTGTACTCAGTGGAAAGAGCAATAAAAATACTATAAAATGGAATGTTTGTGAAACTTTGGGAAACTGTTTTTTGCTTTAAAAAATTAACTTAAAAAATTGCATGAACACCCACCCAGTAAAAGAAGGAAGAGAATCTAACTATTTACTTTAAAATAACAACCCCTTGTTTTTCCTGAATTAATGCTTAAAAAAAGAAATAAAATCTGATGAATTATCATCATGGTGAAAGTTCAAAGTGACTTATTTTTGTGCAATGAAGTACAGTAATAAAATTAAACACTCTTTTCAAAAGAAGGTACACTATTATAAGGGTTTGCCCAACTTGTCTTGTTTAACATGCTAACCATGTGACCTCTCCTCATAGACAGTGAATTCTTAAATAAATATCTCCAACAGGGGAGCTACATGATTTTGAATTGTCACTTTGTGGCACAATTAGCCAATTTGAGACCAAATGCAATCCATGTTAGCTTGTTTTCCTTCCCTGAGGAGGAAGAGCCATCTCACCTGTATGATTGCAGCTGATCTCTCTTTTCATCTAGAGTTGACCTCAGGTTGAGGTCATGAGATAAAGCAGAATTTGCAGCTTTCAGTTTTTCTTCCAACTCCTGCTTGAGATCCTGGAACCCCTTCCAACTAAATGCAGAATGAAATTTTATCAGTAAGAAAGGGATATTATCATCAAGGTATGGAGACTTATTTCTCTACATACCGGCTGAGGTAGTCATCTGCCTCTCTAGCAGCAGTGCCTAGATGGTCTGAGAAATCCTCAAAGGCTTTCTGAAGTATATTTACACATTGCTGAATTTCCTCCTGTCCATCTGTTCCAGTAGAATGATACAGCTTCTCCCCAGTATCCACAATTGAGGTCAGAAGTTTCTGTGCCATGGGTTTTTCAGTCACCAGTTCTGAAATAGGACAGAATGGTAATTTTATGCCAATATGTAACATAAAAAAAAAAAAATTCAGAAACAAATATGACAATGAATACCATTAAGTAGGGTCTTCCTCTCTTCAACTTCCACTATGGACAAGTTGAGTTGCAAAGCACTCTTCAGTTTCTCATCAGCAGATTCCAGCCAGGCTCGGAACTGCTTGCACTTCTCCAGAAAATTCTTATGATCTCCAGTGCTTTCTTCTAGTTTCTTTAGAATCTCCTATGATCAAGCAAAGAAATATTGGGCATTAAATCCTTGGGACTGATGAATAAAAATGAACCATGTAAAGGAAACAAAGCTGACCTTGGTAGTATTAAGCACACTGTAAAAACGTGACTTGATCTGGTCCACGAGAGTATTAAGCCGAGACTCCCCAGATGTTTCTACTAGGGAGATCTGCTGATCACACAATTTCTGGAGATCATCTTCTTTCTTCTCTGCAGTCATCATCAAATTCTATGAGAGAATTTATAACATTCAATCGCACTACATTATATCTAGAACAACAGAAGGAACATATTGGACTGCAGTGCATCCCACCATCATGTCTGCTCTTATGTAAGACTTCATGAACCCACCTTATACTTTTCCACTTGGGCAAGCTTCTCTTGTAGACTTGACTTTGGAGCAAAGTCTTTGAGCTTCACTTCAGCTTCAGTGAGCCACTTCAGGAGAGCATCATGAGCTACATCAAATGCTTCCCATTGCTTCAATCGGACCTCAAGTTTTCCCTGAATGTTTTGGCAGGAAGACAGCAGCTTTTCCAAGGAAAATCTTTAAAAAAATAAAATGCACTTGAAGCAGACTACAAAAAGTCTAACAATTGGCAAAAGAGACAAAACTGGAGAAAAAAAAATCACCTCAAGCCAGCTATCTTCTGATCTTCACTTTCTCGAGACTTCTGGGGAAATCTCTCCAGTATCTTCAGCATCACATTCAGCTGCTCATGTCCCTGAGGAATAGTTCTCTGTAATGTCTTCACCTCTTCCAAATTTGCCTTCACTGTTTGTTTTGGACCAGATGTATTATCCAAGCGTTGAACTGCTTCCATATGCTCTTTGCTCCACTGCCCATGAGCCTGCATCATCTCTTGGAAGTGATTCGCGTCTTCTTGCATGGTTTCTAATCCCCGAATATGTTCCTGGATGCAAAAGAAAAACTCATGATCAGAATGAAAAAGAGAATATGCTCCCTT